CATATGTAGGAATTCGATTTCCCTCCTCAAGTCGAGTCGTCGCAAGGGCCTTAGGGAGTCATGAAAGGCATCGACGTTGGCGAGACAGGAGTAGCATGACATCGTAAATGGTACAATTACTGTTCATTCTTGGCGTAACTGCTCTGCTCGGAGCTGTCGACGTACAGGTGATGATACTTCTTGGCCCATTGGCGAGTCAAGATAGAAGCTAGAAGACTGGTTAGCACGCCATCTCACGAGACAAGGGAAATTATTAATATAGCTTACCCTTCAGGAACTTCTTGCTGGCGTATTTCTTGAAGAAGGCTTCGTGGGAGACAGGGCGGTGGAGATAATCAACCATCAACTGGAAGACGGGATCTATCTCCTCTTCGGTGTATCCAGAGTAGTGGGCGAGAGTGGCATCCTATGATAAGTTAGTTGAGAGGCGCGGAACAGGAGAAATGCAACATAACATACCCAAGGTCCACGCTCGAGGATGAGACGTGCAAGGTACATGGCTGCGGCAGAGATGTGACTCTGGGGGAAGCCCATGAAACGGTGATCAAGAAGACTGATCTCCATCAAGTATTTGCCCAGAGTGCGAGTTTGGATATCATAGTTGTCGGCCTTGGAGATGCGTCGCAGGAAGTTCATCGGGTTGGGGAAGCTCATGTTGTACTCGAGGGTTGCGAGGACGTGACGTTCGGCATCGAGAATCTCCTTATCCGAGAAGGTCTCATCGGCGACATGGCTGAAGTTGGCGACGTGAGGGGAGAGCACCTCCTCATACTTAGACGCAATGAACATGGCGGTAACACCAACGAGCTGAAGACGATCGAGGGCGACGACCTCGGCAGACAGGAAGCGATCGATGATGTTGACAGCAAGGAACAGGGTCTCGGGCAGGAGACGGAAACGGGTGTGCACTTCGATTAGCCAGTCGACAAGGATCCCACGCATCTTCCATTCAAGGTCGGGCTGATGGTCGATGTAATCAGGGTTGGGCAGGGTGATGATCTCAAGGTCCTTGAGATACTCGAAGATTTCCACCACGTATTCGGCGGCCATTAATGGGTCATCCAAGTCCTCAGTGTCCAGATCCTGCACAGCGTCATTCAGAGCATCCTTCACGCTAATCTCCGCCTCTTTCACGGCTGGTTCTTCCGTAATCTTCTCGATAGTTCGGGTCTTTCGCTCAAGCTCGGGCTTCTTGCGGGGAGGCTCATCCGCTTGGAGGGCTGTATCCTTAAGCGATGGACGCTTGGCACCAGGTTTCTTGTTCGAGTCGCGGGGTTGAAGGGCTGGTCGTGTGGCTGTTCGTGAGGAGTTGGTGCGGCTGAGCTTTTGAACACCACCAGTCTGGACGGTTGCCTTTGAGGTCAAACCAGCCTTGGCGGCAAGCGGTTTCTTCCCAGCTTTCATCTCAGCGCCGTCAGTCTTGTTGACATTGCTGACATCACCGAGGGCAGCACGGGGACGTTGGGATCCATTAGACGCGGTAGTCGACGTGGTTCGCTTGGTCTGCAGGGGTTTCTTAGCCCCAGCGGCAGACATATCAGTGCTGAGAGCTGCTGTCTTGGCCCGCGTCACACGCGCCGACGGACCATTCTCATCGTTCTCGTTCATCGTGCCTCTGGTACGAAGGCTGCGGGCCTGCAGTGGAGTCAGTGATCAATGTAGTGAGGTTATGCAATATACTCGGATCTAGATGCAATGGTTTAGATATCCCGCAGCCAGGATATCAAACGCGTGTTTTGGCAGGGTTGAAGATTGCTTACCTGCGGCATCGTGAAGAAAATAAAAGGAAATCGACGCGTAGGAAGGGAAGAAAGAGGACAGGAATATAATGATCCTTGTCCTGCTCGGGAAATCAGGTCAGCATTCCATTTGATATTACCTCGGTGGGGGGCGCTCATACCAGAGGGCTAAGGACAAGGTGCACGTACCACGCGTGAAAATGCGGTTGTTCTGAAGAAACTACTATGCCAGTAGGCAGAGGCAGCTTTCAGGCAGGTGGAGATGATATGAGTCGATAATTACGGCCCAAAGATGACTATGTTGATGTGTATCAAGACCGCGCAGAACCCTGGTTCTGAAGATCAAATGGCGCGCGAATTGGGGGAAAAAGATATCAAATGATACGGAAATGATTCGGGGACACTGTACGACAGGAATCCGCACGCGATAATTTGTTAGTTGGGGAGTAGGGGGGAAAGATGGAAGGGTATCTTTAACTGGAATGATGAGGGAAAAGGAAGAGAGCTTGAGGGCAAAAGGCGATGTTTGGCCCTAGTACTGTTCTTAGCGTAGAAAACAACTAGCCCCACTCAGCCAGTCGCGTGGATCACCAAATTGACCTTCGAGCCTTTTTTTTTTTGGGGGGTAAATTTCTAAAATGAAGAATTGAATTGAGCAATGAAGAACGGAATAGAAACAAGAAAAAGATGTGTTCAGATAGGTTGAGAAAAGTAGATCCAGCAATGAAGGGAGATACGCGTGAGTATGGCAATGGGTAAATAAACTGGTTGCTCGGACAACGACTTCGTTTCGGTCTCGTAAGTATCGGACCGCATGTAATAAAGGAGTCACGTGTCAATCTGACACAAGGCGGTCAAATTGGATCCATGGATGCATACCCGTGACCAGACGTCAGCCACATTAGATGGATTGTGGCCGTGAGAGAGGCGGTGCAGGAGAAACTCACGTGACCAGCGAACTTTTTGTTTCCGTGGAGAGTCGGGTGCATATCTACAAAGAAGAGGAGAGGTGCAGTTGAGTCTTGGTTGGTCTGCTCTATTGACATTTGGCTTTTTTCGATTGCAATTATATTCAATTGATTCACTCAAAACCCGTCTTTCCCCCCCAATTCTTTGGTAGCAATGCTCCAATCCCGAATTGCCCTACGGGGCATTCGGCTGCCCTTTAGGTGTCTATCCTCTCTGCCTTCGCCAGTTCGTGGCTATTCGACAATTGTGAATGAAATTGAGAAGAATAAGCCTAAGTCTATCGAAACACCAGTCAACTCGTTTATTGACCCCAACGTCTCGTTCGCTCCTCCCCCCGGCCGCGATTCGGCTGGCATTCAGCTGCGCACCTTCACTCCGCGCACCCCCGGTGTGAGACATTTGCGACGTCCTGTGAATGATCATCTGTGGAAAGGCCGTCCAGTGCACAAATTAACGTTCCCCAAACGTGGTCACGCCAAGGGTGGTCGAAACAACTCTGGCCGAGTCACTGTCCGCCATCATGGAGGTGGTGCCAAGCGTCGAATTCGGACAATCGATTTTCTGCGCATGGCTCCGGGGCCACACACAGTGGAGCGTATCGAGTACGATCCCGGACGCACTGCACACATCGCTCTGACTGCCAGTAAGGAGACCGGCAAGTTGAGCTACATTCTCGCAGCGGATGGGATGCGCGCCGGCGACGTGGTCCAGAGTTATATGTCCGGAATTCCCGAAGATCTGTGGAAGAGCATGGGCAGCACTGTCGATCCCGGTGTGCTCGCGGCCAGAACCGCCTGGAGAGGAAACTGTCTGCCATTGCACATGGTTCCGGTGGGAACATTGATCTTCAACTTGGGATTACGACCCGGGAAGGGTGGTCAACTGTGTCGGAGTGCTGGAACATATGCTACAGTTGTGGCCAAGGGTAGTGACTCGCGCCAGCAAACAATTCAAGACGGACAACCTGAGGCCGAAAAGAAGCCCTTGTCGCAGCGTGAGCAGCAGAAGCAGGAGCGTCTGGCCCAGCACATCACTGTCCGTCTCTCAAGTGGTGAGACTCGGCTCATCCACAAGGACTGCTGCGCTACCGTTGGTATTACCAGCAACCCGAACTACCAATACACCCAGCTCGGAAAGGCCGGTCGCTCACGTTGGCTCAACATTCGTCCGACGGTGCGTGGTCTGGCCATGAACGCTATGGACCATCCTCACGGTGGTGGACGAGGAAAGTCTAAGGGTAACATCGACCCGAAGAGTCCCTGGGGTATTCCGGTATGTATATCCTCTTGTTTTGCACCCTTCGAACTTCAATGTGGCTGACTCTTCTTTTTTCACCTCTAGACCAAATCCGGCTACAAGACCCGCCCGAAGTGGAAGATCAACAAGGCTGTTGTTCATGCCAGACCTCGCAACCAAGGAAAGCGCCGTCGTGGATACAACTAGAGATGATGTTGCTTTGCCGAAATGGCCATTTCACTCTGCTTTGTCTCTTAACCATTTGTACCTCCTCACCCTATACCTCATCCCTACCGCGCAGAGGATGACTGTACGATATCTTTTCCTGTTTCTTGACACATTAAATGTCTCATCGTTTCTTCTACCACGCGCTATTTGGGGATTCTTGTTTTGCGCATCTGCCATCTGACTGAAACTCGGGCAATGGGCACTGTACAGTACGATGGCTCGATGCCATATACATTCAAAGCGAAAGAAAATAGATTTATAAAACCATTTTATCTCTCTGGACCTAGTGGATATACATAATCATCATGTACAACAAGATAAATTGTTGTATATAAAGTAGAACGTACTTCATTTCCACTCTGATTAGCCGTAGATCCCCGGCTGGGCAGATACATGCCAAGCCTTTAGGCAATCTCGCTGGTGCGTGGCCCTCTGCTGATCCGCACCTGTCAACGCCCTTGTTGGGAATTAGCATGGAAATTAAAGACTCCCCCATGGTTTCAATTAGAATCCGATCGAAAACAAACAATAGGGGTTCTTTGATTTAGCTCACTATAACAAGCCCAGGGCCGGAAGAATGCTCAGCCTCTCCTGTTACGAACTTCGTCATTCATAGAACTTCCTTTTCACATCCCCACTTCAGCACATTTGGCCAACAGTCGGATGTTCCTGGCTAGTTGACGCCCCAGGGTCTATACTATTTGCGCCATCTCTGCCCTTGAAAAAAAAAAAACGCGCCCGGAAAAACCAGAGTTCATCAAACCATCCCTTTGAGTTACTCAGCTACTACACCACATCCCGTTGTCCAAGTTTGCGATCAAGCCCGCCATGGCGGCACTTCCGACGTCTAATTTTGGACCCGAATCGTCGCAATACTCCACGGAATTTGGCCAGTCTCAAATGGAATTCATGTCCGGTGAAAGTGGCGCCGCTGCCGAAAGCACTACCACTGGAGAAGGCAACTTCGTTCCCCGCCCCAAGCGCATCGCATGTGTTGTCTGTCGGAGGAGGAAACTGAGGTGTGATGGGAGACGACCGAGCTGTGGGACTTGCTCACGTCTGGGACATGAATGTTCCTACGATGAAGTGCGCAAGAAGAGTGGTCCTAAACGGGGATATGTCAAGCAGCTTGAAGCGCGATTAGGTACGAATTCATCGGAAACAATGGTCGCTAGTGCCGTATTGACAGTGAGCTATGTCGCTAATAACCATGTCTGTATCAGCTCAAGTAGAGACTCTTCTCAAAGGTCAGGACCCGGAACCCACCCAACGAACCTCCCCACCTCAACCATTGGAGAATGCATTCACAGCACCTATCGCCGATGAATCTATACTGAATTTGCCTGACCTCTCGGGCTTGGGAGGGCTAGAAGGCATTGGAGAAAACATGGATAACTCGTACTCAACTTCTACTGCTCCCAGCGCAGGAATGTTATTCCCTCCGCCGCCAACTACCCAGGGTGGAGGCAACTCTCAATGGGACTTGATCAGTCTAGGACTGGAGGAACCCCTTCCTTCACAGGATGTGATTGATGAACTGTACGTGTTCTACCCGGCTTTTTATATGAACTGGTGTCTAATACAATGGTACTGTCTAGGGATGCTTTATTCTTTGAGAAGATATATCCAATGATGCCCATCATCCACCGCCCCCGTTACTATGCAGCCCTGAATCTCGCCCCTAATATGCGCCCACCGATCTGCCTACGATACATTATGTGGTGCAATGCCGCATCTGTCAGTGACAAATACTTCTTTCTGCATAATCATTTCTACCAGCGGGCACGCAAGTACGCCGAGGCGGACGAAATGAAAGGATTCGGGGAGAACATCGTCAGTTTAGCACATTGCCAAACATGGATATTCATCGGCACATATGAATTCCGAATGATATATTTCCCACGAGCCTGGCTGAGCGTTGGAAAAGCTGCAAGACTAGCACTGATGTTGGGATTGAATCGGCTTGACGGTGTTGGCCTCGATGTCAAACAATCCATTTTACCACCAAAAGATTGGACAGAGCGTGAAGAACGCAGGAGAGTCTTCTGGGGCGCATTTGCCACAGATAGATATTCAAGTGTTGGAACCGGTTGGCCCATTCTTATTGATGAGAACGATGTCAGTATCCCCTTCATGAACCCCGGCGCAGAGAATGGTAGGCTGACAACAAGCAGGTCATGACCAACCTCCCCGCATCCGAAGAAGCTTTTACCAAGAGCAAGCCACAGCGAACACTTCATCTAAACGATATCGCCACCGGAGCTGTCTCTACACTAGCACCTTTTGCCTGCGTGATAGTTTTGGCAAGTCTTTTCGGTCGTAACCTCATACACATTCATCGGCCTCAGCCCCAAGACAACGATCATGACCTCAACGGAGAGTTTTGGAAGCGCCACAGAAGCCATGATAATATTCTCCTGCACATCTCGCTCTCGTTGCCTGATCACCTTCGACTTCCAAGTGGTATGTCGGACGTCAACGTCATTTTCGCCAACATGAGCATCCATACTTCAACAATATGTCTTCACCAAGCCGCAATCTTCAAGGCCGAAAAGAACAAGATGCCGAATCAGATTACGACCGAGAGCAAACGCAGATGCCTTGTCGCTGCCAACCAGATTTCGAGTACCATGAAGATGATCAGCCACGTTGATTTGACAAGCGTGAGTTTCTATTGAGCTTCCTTGCCTAAGTCATTTGCACTAACACCTTGCAGCTAAATCCTTTCATGTCATTTTGTCTCTATATTGCTGCTCGCGTCTTTGTCCAGTATCTTAAATCCCGACCAGAGGATTCCAGTGTTCATTCCTCGTTGCAATTTCTGGTCTCTGCTCTGAACGCTATGAAGAACAAAAACCCTCTAACAGAGTCGTTCCTTGTTCAATTGGATGTTGATCTTGATGGAACTGGCATTCGCGCTTTGGACGATAAACATAAAACCAACACGTCTGCTGCACATTCGATTTCGATGGTAGTACGTTCCCCTGGCTTGTTCCCCGATGGCTAATCGAAGCTAATCGCAATTTCTCTAGCAAAACTGCCATGATAATGTCGACTGTACCCCTATCTACAGCATCCGTCAAACACAGGGGATCGCGAAGGAGGTGTCTCCACAATACAGTTCAAATCGCGGTGACAATCAACAGTCTATGTCTGCCGGTTTGACCAGTTCCCTCCCTAGCCGGAACCGGGACTCAACGACACAGCCCACCGCAGGACAAGTCTTCAATGGCGACGACACGCGTCGTTATTTTGGAACTTCCACTCAGGCGACAGTTCCACAAATGGACCAGGCCGGACAACCACGGGCCATTGTCGATGTGGACATGGATTTTCCAACTGATTTTGGCAACCTCAGCGACAGGAACAACCCACCATCAGACCATCCCACTCCCTCAACTTTGAATTCATCCTCCAACACCTCCTATTCAATCAATGGTGCTGACAATCCCTCACCGGGGAGCAACAATCAAACGATGAACCCGGGATATCCGAATCAGGCGTCCGCCGCCTCCTTTGACAAGGCCAATCGAAACATCATGCCACAAGGAAACACAAACCCACAGGTCACTGATTTGGGCTCTATGGCTGGTCGGTTTTATCCAAACAGTTCCGATAGTCCATCAGTTGGCACAGGAGCGTCGGGAATCTTTTCCATGCCTTCTGCTTGGGACCTTCCAACCCCAAATCCAGAAACAGGCAATGGGAGCTATGGCAGTCTAAACATGGAGACTTTTAGTGAATCTCAATGGGCTCAGATGTTGAATAACCAAATCCAGAGTGAACATAGAGCCGACACCGGCTGGGAGAACTGGCGGCCATCATGAGTGCAGCATGTGGTGGAATATACTTTTCCATGAAACGATCTCAGTTGGATAGTCTCCGGTGTCGATAACACAGCTTGAGAATGTTCCAACAAAAGAATCTCTCGCTTTGCCCCTGCATGGACGACATTAGGCTTCGTGTCCCCCCAACCTGTTCAAAGTCCGAGATCCTAGGCTCTCACTAATTAAGACGACCCATCAACGCCTTTACCAATCCTGGCTGGATATCTCACATACGAATCGAAGCAGGTCATCCTATTGGAGATGCTTATCTCTTGCTTTCTGTTCCCCTCCCTCGCCTCCAAGCTGAGATTGATACACATGAGGCATCGGTCCCCTAGTCCCACTTATTACGATATCTGGGTGCTTTCTTTTCCTGGGGTTGGTTCACTAACCACGGAACTACAAATCCCTTTGCAATTCTCTTCTTGCCACAATGCCCGAGTAAAGTGGCAGCCTGATAGGCTTTCATTAAGCCCTGCTTTTGAATGATTTTGACGACGAACGAATGAACGGTCTTTTTGGGGCGGAATTCTTCACTTTTGGATAGCTTAGTTACACGGTTGCAATCAGGGTATATGGGGCCTGTTATTCCATGTTAATAAACAATCACTACAATATTACATCAGGATCTTAAGGAATATATTGCTCTTACTTAGCGGTCTTTAGTCTTTTTTTTTCAATACGTCTCTTCATGATAATTTTTGATAATAATCCGGATCATAGAGGTTAGAGCCAAAAAAAGTTTGCTGAAGAAGAGGAAATGCAGTATAATGCTTGAGATTACAGGCCACCACCAGCAGCACCAACAATCTTCAAGCCTCCAGCGCTGGAGCTACCAGGTCCATCGGTGGTAGTGGAGTAAGCCAGCCAGTAGCGAGATGGATGCCACGCAACAGCAGAGACACCAGCATTGATGCCGGCAGTAGGAATTGTATAAATGCTATCACCAGACTCAGCGTGGAAGATCTCCAGTCCATTGCCACCACATCCAAGCTCGTCACATGCACCAACAATGTAGCGGCCATCGAAGCTCCAACTTACGCCACGAATAGCACCACCATTCTCGCTGGACAAAGTGCGACGGCAGATCCAGTCGGTTGTGTCCCAGAGGGAGATGAGAGCGTCGCTTCCGCCAACTGCGAGGTATCGACCTGTCGGGGCGAGCGCAATTGAAAGGCAGGCTGAGGTGTGAGCGTTGAGAGTGTGAATAATATCGAAGGAAGGGTAGGACATGATTTTGACCTTGCCTTCGCCTGTCGTCACGAATGCTTGCTGCTCCGGACGTTCGGGTGTCGGCATGCACCAGGAGAAGGTTGTCGCATTTGTTTGGACGGTCTGAGGGTGAGGGTCGAGAGCTGTGTATGTGGTTGCGCCGGGCGTAGAGGAGGGGAGGTTGAGAGCGTTCACGCCATCGGGGTGGGTGGAAGGGGAGGAGGGGAATTTAACGGAGACGGGGATTAAAGTGTCGTCCTGTTTACATATCGTGTATTAGTATCTTTGCCATGAGAGAGATGAAGGCTGCGGAGTCGCAGCGCTGCATGATTACCTTCTTGCCGACGATCATTGTGCTGCCATCGGCAGACCAGGAGAGTGTAAATGCTTCGCCGCCGACATCGAGACGGCTCACACATGTCTTGGAGCGCACATCCCAGAAGCGCACTGTACCATCGCCCGAGCAACTGGCCAGCTCCGCATCGCGGACTGGGTTGAAAAGAGCCTTCTCGATACCAGCTGTGTGGCCACGCAATTCGGTAGAGTATCGTACATGAGGACGTTCCGGGTTCCAGATTCGTAGAGTGCGATCTGCTGAGCCAGTCGCAATCAGCTGGCCCGTGGGGTTCCAGGCAAGAGTGCGGATCCTGTGGTCCCAGACCGCTGTCAGTAAGTTGTACATGAACAACAGCGCCTGGCGCAAAACTCGACTTACGTGTGAGAGCCTGGGCCCTTGGAAACAGGATCTAAGTAGTTTTGCGTCTTCACGCTCCCAAACACGAATGCGAAGTGATCCTTGTGTAGGAGCTCGCGACGCGGAGCGGGCGCCATGTCTTCGTCTTCCTCCTCTAGCAATTGGCGCAAGACTGGACGTCTACCTGCATCCAAGCCAGCGGCAGAAGTAATGGTAGAAGTAGAAGCGAGAGAACCTAGCAGCTTAGGCTTGATTTTATTCGAAGGACGATGGGCCGACTGAATCGGAGAGTACTCAGATACCGCCTTTGGAGAGCCCGATACTGCCGGGGAATCCTTATCGGGTGTTGCTGCCATTGCGATATCGGCCTTAGGCACCCAATATTTTCTGCCGAATTAGATTGGATTTTGCGTCTAACTTGCGTTTCAATCGTCAGAAAATTGGCGAAATATTTGGGATAGAAGAAAGCCATGCACAAGAAGCCAGCAATATCTGTATGTGAATGGGTCGCATGGTTATCCCACCTTTAAAGGAAGAAATGCGCTTTACGCACTACATACCAAGGAACACCACCAGGAACTATGCGGTTGACATAAGGTTGCTTAACCTACAATTGGTACATTATAATTAATTTGAAGCTATTCTACATATTTTGTTTTATTCCAGATACATTGTGTGCTATACATAGATACTTTTCTGGCATTATGTATTCAAATGTTTTAATTGACAGTCTATCTTGTTTGGTCTATATCACATACTGCATGTGCTCATCGGGAGTAGTTGGAAAGGCTGCTTGCATTTGTTGGGTAGGCTGCTGGACTCGCTGAACTGCTACAGTTTGGGATCGCTGGGGCTGTTGCATCATAAACTGTTGGGTGGACTGCTGAACTTGCCGAGCTGCCAAAGTTTGAAGTTGCTGGGTTTGTTTCATCACAGACTGCATGTGCTCCTTGGTAGGGGTGAAATGAACCCCCTGGATTTGTTGGGTGGGCTGTTGCATCGCACACTGCCGCCCATCCGGAGGAGTGGGAAAAGCGGTGGCATAATAGAGATTTCTTGAGCAAATCTCAATCTAGAAGAATTGAGATTAAGGTCTATCTCAGTTCAGATGTCTCTTATAAGTCGACATAAAAGCGAGGCTAAATTGAACTATTATACTATTATATTCATCACAATCAATATTGAGGTTGTTGATATTCATTGATACCTTCTTTCATGAATTCATATCTGCCATTTAGACCCCATACATATATACCTAGGCATGATTATCCTGTATAATACTCCAATATTGTTACCTTAAGATACCCCCAATACCAACTCACCCGTGGACCATTTGAATGTGGAACGTTTGATAGCTGCAGCCTTGTGGGTCCGATAAGCCCGAGCTTAATCAAACCTCACCCTTCGGCTGAAAAATTAACCCTCCAGAATTCAAGGGCCTCGATTATCAACATTAAGCATCACCTCGAAGGCCATCAGAAACAACATGTTTGAAGAAGTGGACGACGCATCGCGTCGTGAAAAATGTTTCACAACCATCGCTCAACTGCCGGCATTCATCGACCCAAAGCAGATCCCGAGCAAGAGATCGCCCTTTTCAACAATTCAGAATCATGCATTTGTACACTCAGTAAGTGACCTATGGCTTGATTTGAGAATTGAAAGGTCATTGGACTGATCATTGGGTATAGGTCGAGGTTATCTTGCCAAAGGAGGTCTACTCACAGTTCAAAGCATCGCTCGAGACTAAACTAGAAAAACCTCGGTATGCACGAGTGTTTATGGCTCCTTCGGCTCTGCTTGAGCATGATTTCTTCAACACATATATCAAGTCAGGTAATTGTGCCTCCGCCAGTTCAGCCCAATAGCTCTCCCATATTTGAATGGGCATCGGTTGCACCAGCATCGGACGGCTTTTGTGCTCAGAGAGTTCATTTTATTGAAGACAGTAATCTGACTTGGGACGCAGGGAATATTTTGATGATATCAGAAGGACGCTCGGGGTCCGATAATGTCTTCACACTCCAAGATGGTTCGTTCTGCTATAGCTGCCCCTGGAAGAGTCTTGCTGCGGAACCGAAAGCTGACCCGAATGGAAACAGGGATTCTTCGAATGGAACTAGGAAAGGAGATCTATGAGCGAACAGGTCTCACAGGCAAGCCTTTCCGCAGTGGCGGCAGAAAACATGCAAAAGAACGATTCTGTGAGTACAAGCAGAGCAAATTGGGCTGAATGAATATTTACTAATCATGTCATCAGTGGTAGAATTGAACTTACGGCTACCCTCGATGCTACATGGCAAGAAAGGGTTTGAAAGAATTGTATGGGCATTCACCAATGTTCTGACTCAATCAATGGCCTGGCTCTTCCACGACCTGGAAAGCAACTCCGGTCTAGATGAAGGTAATCATGCCTCCGAAGCCAAAAAAGGGAAACGGCAGGAATAATATGCTAAAAGTTAGAGCAGGAAACAAGCCGATCAATAAGGTTCAACCACAGTTGATAACCTGTAAGCCACAGGAAATTGATCACGAGCAAATACTCATTCCGCCGTTTTACGAAAACGGGAAAGTACTCGAGGAAATGTCGGAAGGTGATCTGCAGGAACATTCTGGCTCCCTGTCCGAATGGCTTGCCATGGTCCAGATGGCTTCTCCACGGCTATCTGGGGAAGATGACGTCGATCCGTACCTGAGTCGTTATGCAGTTCCAGGCGCAGACGAAAGTCAGGCCTGTGATTTGATGAGTTTGAAATGGAATGGGTTGATATCGTCCCGTTGGATCATGCAGCTGTTCATCAATCTGCTGTGAGTTGCGAATATCTGGTATAAAAGTCGGGGTTGAGAACTGACATCAATGAACAGGCAAAGTACCAAGGCAAGCAATCTGTCGTGGTTTGCACTTGCCGTCGCTACTTTGGGTAAAGAAGCTGTGGAAGGAAGGGACGGATTCACGGTTATGGTCCTTCCTAGTGGACGTGGACAGTCCAGTGAATCCAGCGAAGTATCCCAAATCAATAAGGAAGGAACCACTGGACCTGGTCGTGTGACTTTATGTTGGGAGTTGATGGGAGCATCAGTGACCGAACCCTGACCTAACCCTGTGCCCTTTGTGACCCGATCCGACTACCGCATTGGGGACGGAGAGATTCATCCAGGGCTTCATTCATGTAAACCCCCATCATCTTCCCTGACTTACCCTTACCCTGACTTACCGCATACCTTCCCACAATCCCCTATTCCCACAATCCCCAATCCCACAATCCCCATTCACCATTCACTCTTCATCCTTCTTCTTTCCTTCTTCCTTCCTTCTTCCTCTCCTTCCTTCTTTCCCCATACCATCTTTCCCCATACTTCTTTCCCCATACTTCTTTCCCCACACATTTCCCCATACTCGCATCATCTTACCCATTCATCCAATATCACTCATCCAATATCATTCATCCAATATCATTCACTGCAAAATACAATTACCTGTTCCATAGTCGTTGCTTTTCGAGCCTGCCACTCGAGCAATTGACACCCTTCGTTCATATCTTGTTTTTATCAACTTTCGTGTCTCTGCACCTTCCTTGACCCTACGCTTCCATCAGCTGTACTATCATTCACATTCATCCCATCATTCGTTATGGCGTCTCCCGGACCCACCCAATTCTTCACCGAGGCACTTGCCGGGGTGTCTTATGACGAAGATCCCCAGAAGGCTCTCCAGGGTCTCGACGAATGGAAAATTCCCGAGTCAATTTACCGCAAAGATGGCTCCTGCATGTCCATCTGGGAACTTGCTCGTGTCAATGGTAATTACATCTCCTCTTTTAGGACCATCGGACCGAGACTGACTTGTGTTCCTAGGATATCACTTCGAAGGAGACCTCAATGAGGCTTCTGGCTCGGATTTCGACAAGGCCTTTGTTGAATTCGGTGTAAACCCTGTCGTTGGCCCAGCGACCTTGGATCACCTGGAGCTTGACCCTGAATTGTCTACTCCCATCGTGATCGATGATGTGATTCCACCCAGCACTTGTACCAACCAGTCGCAGTCGGACACAGTCTACCCACTGAATACCCTCAATTATCTCGAAAACGCCAACTTGGGTCCTCCCATGGCAGTTGTTCAACTTACTCCCGCCACTCAAAAGGCTCCGGTCACCATTGCTAAGGCCGTTGAAGTCGGTCCTGTTATTGCTGGTCCAGTGGCCCAAGTCGCCACCCAAAAGGCTCCGGTCACCATTGCTAAGGCCGTTGAAGTCGGTCCTGTTATTGCTGGTCCAGTGGCCCAAGTCGCCACCCAAAAGGCTCCGGTCACCATTGCTAAGGCCGTTGAAGTCGCCCCCGCCCAAGTCACCCCCACTACCGGTACAGCAATTGGAACGGTCAAGGTCTTTGACCTAGCACAAGGCAAATCGCGCCCTCAGCCTGCTAAGCGACCACCCAAGCAGAAGGCCAAGCGGGCCCCCAAGCACAAGGAGAATGACGAGCTACACACAAAGCAGAAAAAGGCAAAGGCCAACAGCACTCCACGCAAGGCGAAGGGAAAGACAACTGCAGCCCCAGTCACACCACCTCAGAAGATTGCGCCTGCCCCGACGACACCAATGCCTGTACCAATGAGTCGTTTCCCTGCCTCAATGACCCCGGTGACTGGGGACGCTCGCAAGACATCGGTACATTCCAGCCAACAGGAGATGCTTCGAATTCAACAGCGCCTCCAAGATCAAGAAAATCTTCTTCGTATTGAATGGCACCAAGTGAAACAACAGCATGCTCAGTTGAAACAACAACAGCCCGGAAATGAACATCAGCTCCAGATCCACCAACAGCAGTGTCAGCTCAACCAGCAGCAGTTTTTGCTGTGTCTTCAAAGGGTTAACCAGCACAAAGCTCAAGTCTGTCAATTCCGGAATCAATTCCAAATTCCAGCACCTCAGCCCGTCCAGCACTCCACCCAAATGCAAGCAGTTTATCCCACTCCTCCTAAAGATCGCATGCAGTTTGTCATGAAACAGACCCAGCAACTCCAAGCCGCAGCGGGTCAGCCAGTCCAGCACTCCGCCCAAATGCAAGCAGTTTATCCCACTCCCCCTAAAGATCGCATGCAGTCTGTCATTAAACAGACCCAGCAACTCCAAGCCGCAGCGGGTCAGCAAGTTCAGCAGCCCGCTCACCAAATGCAGGGAGTTTCCCCCATCACCCATAAGGAGCGCATGCAGTCTATTATGCACCAAACTCAGAACATCCAAGCCACGGCAGCTCAGCGAGCTCAGCCCACCAAGCAAATGCAGTCTGTTTCTTCCCTTTCTGCCACTTCGCCCAAGAAGCGAGACTTCCAGTTTATGGAGAACATTGTGCCTACCAACTTTGTGGCCAACCCAAACAACCACGCGCGCTGGGGTATGAGCCCCAATGGCGACCGAACCTACTTGAGCGGACCTCAGGCGAAGAAGGCACGAACTTCCCGCAAGTAGGGGGAGACGGAGACGGTGTTTGTGCGGCAGAGCCGCGACCTCAATTTTTTTCCGTTTTTTTTTCTTCTTCTTTTTCTTTTTCTGTTTTTCTGTTTTTCTGTTTTTCTTTTTCTTTTTCCCTTTTTTTTTTGTTGAGGAGGAGGAGGTCTTTGCGGGGGAGGGGGTTGTGATGAGTAGGAGGAGGAGGACATGAATCCAATTTTCTTTTTTTTCAATCATCAATTCCTACTGTAGATTGTAGATTGCCTATTGTCATATCAAAGAGGTAGGCTTTGGACTACTACTGGAACCCTGCCTAGTATCATTTCCTGGTGAATTAGTGGCCTTCTTTCATTGCGAAGAGATACTAGTGCTCCGGAAACAATCGTCTTCACAATAGTCAAGTAACTATTGATTTGTTGCTTAAACTGTATAGATACCTGTTAACTACCTGTTACCTACTTCTGCCTACTCAATGTGACGAAAATGATCTTCAGACAATACAAGATTTAAATGATAAGAAGGTTCTTCAGATCTATTTAATCTCTGAAGACATATTCATTCAAGCCATTCTCTATAGGTCCTGGGACTGTCCCTAGGATTGTCCCTTACACAAAATGAATCCTACTTTGCGTCAAAAGAAACCCTACAATCGGAAAATGCGATCTAAAACAGCCGATGATGTATGTCTTGTCCCTCGATTCAGATCAAAAGTGCCAGAGATAAAGGCCTGTCAGTAAAAGTAAGTAAACCTCTCCCACTGGTGTCATGATGCTCATCGTCTCAAGGGAATTGTTCCGGTTGGCGGGTTTGGCACAAGCCCCTATGGGCCCTATCTGTCTCAGCACTTAGAGGGCAGACCACCCTCAACTTAATGATACTGTCACTGGGATTTACAAAGTCTCGTGGAGCACGAAGGGCATTAATTACGATGATCTTGACTTCCAATTTGGCAAAAATGGACCGTATAAGGATCTGGATTATGAGATTGAGGTACGACCATCAGGAGCTTCCAATGATTTTTACTATTTACTATCAAGGTGACATGGTTTATAAATTGAAGTCTGAGACTCCTAATGAATGAATATATCAATTTATTATTCTTTTCGACTTCACACTCGGGTTCCTGAACACAAATATGAACGGAAACAAGGACTTGGATGGAAACACTGTATGCTAGCCCGTCACATCATTCACTATATCTCGCAGGATGGGCCGATTCCCAACCACATTGGTACCGTTGAACAGCTTTGCACCCGTCTTTGAAGGCCTTCGAAGGCCGGACGGTGGCTGTCGGGAACCCAGTGGGCTCAGTGGTTCACGGGTAGAACGAGAAGAAGGTGATTTATTCTTGCTCTTACCTTTGCCCTTAGCAGAGCCAGGAGTCAAGACCGCTCCCGGAGACATGAGCTGCGACTGGGTGGTACAAGAAGGGAAAAAATGCTTGTCCATGGCTCCGCTGGGCAAGTTATAAACCCAGCCTTTGCTTTCCATCAGACGAACATATTTGCAAAGGAGCTCGTTACCATCACGGAGAGTGGATCTGCTGCCGACAACTAGGAGCTTGGTTTGGGCACGGGTGAAGGCGACGTTGACACGGCGCCAGTCGCGTAAGAGCTCGCCGACGTTATTTTCGGCGTTACTGCGTACGCAGCTCAGGATAATAACCTCTTTGTCGCGACCTTGGAACTTGTCTGTAGTGTGCATTTCTAGATCCGGGGTGTAGCGTCGCAGGCTCTGGCGAAGGAGCGAGAGTTGACTGCGGTAGAAAGTGATCACACCAATGTTGCGCGCGGGGATACCAGAGGCAATGAATGACTCCACAAGTTGCGAGCAGAGGAAGACCTCCATGTGATTTACGACTCGATTTCCCTGTGCTATCTCGAGGGCTGCAGGGCCGATGGGATCGGTGTTGACCAGGCGTGTTTTTGCAGATGGTGTCAGTAAGTCTCGGAGCCAGCAGGGGGTACTGGGGGTACCCGGGCAGATTTCTCGTCGTGACTGTGACGGGGCATGGCTCAAGTCCTCGACATGGAATTTCTCGAGGGCGTTGATGTTGGGTATATCCAAAGATCGGGCCGCTACCTGCGGTGTGCCACATTTGAGACGGCCCGAATAGATCAGAGTATTGGAAAGTAACATGATTTCCTCACACATGCGGTACTGGTGTTCTAGGTTGACAACCGAATCTGGTTGTGCGTCCGAGAGTAGTTTGAAGAGACTGATATCAAGCCCTCCTTCCTGGGCCGCTTTATTCTGCACAAGCGGCGGCAATTGATAGTGATCACCGACCAGGATGAATGTCCTTGCCATACGAATCGGGCCGAGACAGACCGGGAGAGTGATTTGTGACGCCTCGTCGACAATACAATAGTCAAAGATGCGCTGATTAAAAATGTTATGGTTGACTCCGAGGCATGTAGTGGCAACAACCTGCGGCTTCTCGTATGAATCCTTGAGTTCTTCAATTGTTGATTTCGGGATTGCAGCAAGATCCGCAAATTCCTGAACATCTGGATGGATTTTGGCGGTTGCACCTATACGCAACACACGAATGCTGTCGTCTCGAATCTTCAGCAGAATGTTGTCCACTGCAGTGTGGGTGTAAGATGTAAGAAGAACACTCTTGCCTTGTGCGACAAGGGCTCTAATAATATGGGCAATGGTTGTGGTTTTTCCAGTCCCAGGCATTCCGAGGACAAGGGCATAATCTTTGGCACTCATCACTTTATCAATGGCTTGTCTTTGATCCACGTTGAGGTTGTCAGGATCGGAGATTGTGTATGAAGATGATGTCGTCTTGAAGGCGGGAGCTTGACCCTCAACAATAAGCCGTCGAAGCTGTCTCGCTTGGAACAAGTCTTTATCCATCATACAGATGAGGTTGTTTCGAACAATGGCCATGCCGTTGCTAAACTCGTCTTTGTCGATCCGGTAAACGAGCTGTTCACCTGGGTTTTCGAGAGCAGCAGGCTCTCCTTTTCCAACCTCCATGATTCCCCTGAAAGACTGATTTGTGACTGCATCGAAACCAGCCGTCTTTGATCGTGCATTGTGAAGTTTACGGTCCACGCCAACCTTGATGTGTGAGGAACTAGTATGCACCACGTATCCATTGGCGAGAGCAAAATGGCCCTTTTCATCCGAAATTACAATCGGTTCACCGACAGATATTTGAGACTCAGCAAAGGAGAAACCAGGAGGCGCTTGTCTTTTGACGAACGTATACTGGTAGCGGTTTATCTTGGTCCCAGTGTTCTCCTCATACACCGAATGAGGATCGATAACGACATCCCCGAAGCATCGGCCCAGGGCTTCTCGCTCACTGCTCACCAATGTCCAAAGCTCTCGCCGGAACTTCACAAGATTACCCTCTTCTTTAGTCAGAAGTTCATCCCATTTACGGAAGAAGTCCCGATCACCGTTGTCCAGATGGCCGACAGCTGCATCGAAGTCCTCACCAAGTGCGCTGGTTTCGCCATTGCCATCCTCGGAGAGTTTGTGATAGATAAGGCAAGGGGTCTTTGCATAGCATCGAATACATTGACGAGCTTTCTTCAACATTGGTGGAAGCTGCTGCCTTTCGCGAATATAGCCAGCAAGGTGATTGCGCACCTGGATCATCTGGAGCAGCTCGTGTCGAATCCCACGGATACTGAGTGTTTTTGTTAACTCGAGGTAGTAGAGAAGCCCAAATGTAACATCGAGATCTGCAACAGTTTTTAGCAACTAGTCAACAGCCGAACAGGATGGGCGGCTTGAAAGAACATCTCATCACTTACCATAGCGGTCCGACAGGAGTAGAGTGTAGAGAGCTGTTTGAGCCCTGTGTGACTGGTTTGTATCCCTTCGCCCAGTCTTAAGCTCCAGCGGAACCACCAGGTTCTTCTCCATTTTATCTTCACGACAAGTAACTTGTACCGTCGCATCGATGTTACCTTTAAGGCCATACATTGGCGACCAGATGTGCTCCTCGACCTCAAGCAGTTTGTTAATACTCAAGTTCATTTTAGAGCTGTTGCGATCTTCAACCATAGACTTGGCCTATTGATCTTGATTAGCAATGCTCCTTCGCCAAAAGAAGCCACCATCGGCCGTGAGACATACATGTGGTTTGACATGCAAAAAGGCATCTGCCCAGTCGAGAACAGCAGGCATCCTGCTCATGAGATACTCAACAGCTTCAGGGATACTCATTTGGATAGAGTACAGCTCTTCAACGTGTCTGCCCATGACGGTTTCGACCAATGTCTTCAGTGACTCCATGTCCCATTGGTTCGCCTTGAGCGCTTCTTGAAAAACTTCGTGGAAAAACACTCCGAAGGCTTGCGGTCGCTCAAGTGCGGCAATGACTTTAACTCGGTCTTGAAGGACAGCTCGTCGCTGGCAGTCTATCGAGTCTGCTACGACTGTAGCAGAAATGAGATGGTCGGGGTGAAGGATGATCATGTGGTTCAAATTATCCACAACGCATTGGCCGGCTGCGTTGAAGTCCCCGACCAGATGGATATACGAGTCCTTGCTGCAGGGAGTGTCAAACCATGACTCTCGTAGAACAATAACCTTGCGTTCTCGGGTTTTCTCGTCTTCAACTAGCAAGACCTGTATTAAAAGTCAGCGGACGGGACTATATCCGGGGCAAGGGCAAGGTATCTGACCTGCTCTGGCTGAGTACGCCCTTTCGGAGTAACATATGTGCTCTTCGTGATGTCAACGATCTGGTAACGTTTGATAGCTTGTCGACCTTTTAGGTTCTATTTGTTTTGACTGTCTTAGCATATATCTAGAAATTAACCGACTAAGAGTGACTAACATAAGGCCCTCCTTCACCTGCTTGCTTCATAGTTTGCTCGATGGCCTCCAAATCAAAATCATCATCAAACTCATCATCCGATGATACCATCTCAGGTTTGACAGGTGTGGCGGTTGGGGGTTTGCTATGCATACTACCATTCACCGGGACATTCGCAGCATCTGATTTTTGCAAGGATAGTCCAGTGATTGTTGGCTTTAATGAATTGACGGACACGGGATTTGTGTCGCATTTTGCAAGTATTTCCTGCAAGTTGTCAGGCAGATCGTCATATTCATCTTCAAAGTCATCGAATTCATCGCGTTTTGTTTCGTTAGTCGTAGTGTTATGGGGTATGGGTATGGAAGGTTTGCTGTCGAACATCGAATTCTTTTTGGGCTGCGATGAACGAGACTTTTCTGCGTCAAGGGCAGCCCAGTCAGAAGATCCCAGAGAAGCAAACTCATTAGATGCATGTGCCGGCCCAATGAAGGGATCCTCTGAGGGATCGGCCAGGTCCATCAGACCTTGATCAAGATCATCATCTCCGAACTCGGAGGATGACTCTTCAAGAACAGGCAGCGTTCCAGGTCTTACTTTCTCAAGCAGTGCAGCAGATGGGGACTCTGCGGTTTCTTCGTCGGCCTCGTGAAGCCTACGGTCCTTCGTGGGTGAAGACGATCGACACCTTCGCGCATCCATATGTTGGCGCAGGGGCGACGACCCTGGAGGACCCACATCGGCAGGGGCCATATGTATACTTTTCTCGATCTTTTCCATAAGATAATTGATCCTTGATGACTTGGGTCTTCCAGATTCAACATTGCTGCTAGTTCGTTGAATGCCGCGACTGGGACCAACATCTAGTCTATTGACTCGTCGTCGTTTTGTTCGAGAGGTGGGGAAATCGGTAGTGCAGCTAATCGCACGTCTCAGCCCTGACGAGTCTCGACTTGTTCTGCCTGAGCCCGGTGTCTGGGGCGACGAGGAAAGAAGATTTGCGAACCGTGGCGGTGGAAGATCATCCGGGCCATCGATCATGTTTTTATCCATGTAGTTATTCCACAATTCAGCAGCCATATCATGCTGAGGTGTCTTGAAGAGGGCTTGTATTGAATGAAGATCAAGGGGTTCTTTTTGCATCTTTTTCTTATTCCCATTCGAGGGAGAGCCAGCAGGTGAAGAACTGTGCCGGCGCTTCCTGCGACGACCTGCTGGCGTCTGGGATGAGGTGTCTGGGTTTGAGCTGGCAGGCACATGCTGCCAGATGACATGCTCGACTGGCGTCACCTCCGGGCCCGGCGCGGGATCAAACGAATCCTCAGCATTGCTGATCAAATCTGCCAGGGGTATCCTGTTTCCTGGAGTCTGAGGGCATTCTTTGATAGGCTTTGATGCTTGTACCTGAGGCTCCGACGCTTGAGCTTCGTGCGGCGGATGGCATCCTCTGTCAGAAGAGGCCTGCATCAGCTCTGCCACACCGTTGGGGCCCGAGTCTTCGAGTTCTTTGCTCCCATTAACCGATTTCGTCTCGTCTTTCGAGTTGGGGCCTTCGGGAACTACTTCGCCTTCTTGGAAGCGAAAAGCGTTCAATTTTGTTCGTGAGTTTGAGGATATGGGGTATGCATTGTTCGTTGCCATTGCTTCGATCTGGAAATATCCAATGACGCGTTCAAAATTGGTAATGATACATTCCGCGGGAAGCTGGAGCAGGACAATATCAGAAATGGGGATACGTTTGGGGTTTGAGATGAAACATACCAATTAAGAGATGGTATTTACCGGTCCAATTAATTACTTTGGATGTTCGTGCATATGGAAAGATAAAACGAATGGCGACTCCAGCGCCCTGTTGGTGACGTGGGGGGAGGGCCAATTGTGATAAGAACGCGTCGCGTGTAGCCCTGACACCTATTTTCCAAGGCAGGAGCGTAGTTCTGCCTAAAATATCAGGTGTGAGAGCGGACAAGAAAATTGCCGAAAGTAGACTAGCGCGATAACTGGACAGCTTCCCGGCCTTTTACGGCTTCAACATCAACCCGCCGAAGCACCCCTCCACTCTCCTACAAGAGGCAACATATCAATTGAGACCGTCCTTGCCACTTGAATTTAAGAGGACACTCTCCCTTGTGACCCTCGCCAATTTCCTCGCACGCCAGTATCGGCCTCAACCCTCCTTGACCCCCATCTTCAAGATGACTGCCCGGCCATTGTCGCACATCCTCCGGGCGCGCTGCCTGCTTCGCCAGCCTCAGAACACCCAGGCATTCTCTACCCGGTCCAGTCTCCGTGCCGCGGACCACGGTGACCACTATGATCCTCCCACCGGCTGGCTGTTCGGTGTCAAGCCCGGCCAGAAGTACGTGAAGGAAGGCTGGGAGAACATTTTTTACTACGGATTCATTGGAAGCTTTTTGGTCGCTGGTGTCGCATACGTCTTCAAGCCTGATACTTCGTACGTACAACCCATACCTAGACCTAACGCCTCAATATTGGCGTCTATGCCCCTCGCACAACTGGAATACTGACAATTGCAATAGTATACAAACATGGGCTCTCGAAGAGGCCAGACGGAGACTCGAAGCTGAGGGAATCCTTGAGGACCCCGACAAGGTCAAGAAATAAACGCCAAATTTGTACACTGTACATAGAGATCAAAGAGGGACTATTTCGATTTATGCCTGTACTACCTGCGACGGCAGATATGATGTTCCGGTCTCGTTCTTAGACAGGGTTTTTTCTTTTTGCATGCTCATCTATTTTCGTTTGTTCCTTGTTGTATCACTTTACACTTTTCGAAGTTTCTTTCCGTCATGTTGGCTATAGGTGCTCCGGTAGCAACAAAATGCTTATAATTCGCACTGAGTATATCATGAAATAATCCAAGTTAACGGCACGAAGGTTGATAAAAAAAAAATGGCCGGCTGCATATGCGGCCTTGTGGCATCTTTGGATAGTGTTTTTGGTAGTCCTTAAAGATGTCTCTTTTGTGGATCTTCTATCCTCTTCTCAGTTTCACGGCAGGAAAGGGGAAAAGGCCTAATTCGTGAAATCGACTATCGACTTTTCTATATATAACCACGGACCAGGTGTATCTTATAGAATATATGAAAAAATGTACTGGAAAAAAAGGCTGACTGACATTCGCTTCCTTGCTATTCATATATTCACGTACGGTTCTCAAATCTCTGGATATAGATCATTTCTCCGGAGCAACGGCATTTCACGCCTAATCTTCGCCACAAGATCCAGGTCAATATCGGCTGTCGCAATTTGTGGTTCCTGGTGCTCATCTTCCAGCTTTGCTACCACTTCACCCCACGGGTTGACGATAATAGAATGACCGTAACTTCGTCTCTTCTCATTATGGGGGCCTGCCTGCGCCGCTGCAATCACGTATGATTGGGTCTCAATAGCTCTTGCTCGGAGCAAAGGCTCCCAATGAGCTCTGCCCGTCGGAACAGTGAATGCTGATGGGTAGGTGATGATTTCAGCATTCTGCCGTCTCAATGCCAGGCTGATCTCTGGGAAACGCAACTAGATACATAATCCAGCATGAGTAAGATGTTGAACCAACTGATGTTCGATGTAATGTCAACATGCACTGTACTTACGTCAAAACAAATGCTTAGACCAACACGCCCTATGGGGGTATCAAATGGCCTTGGAATTTGTTGCCCAGGTTGGACGTTCCTATGTGGTTCAAGGTTAGCGAATTATAAGTCACTATCGAATCTTAAGTGAACCCTCTTACGCGCTCTCCTTGAGTACAGGTCCGTCTTTGATATCAACGTCAAACAGATGGACTTTCTGGTAGGTTTGAGTAATGACTCCCTTATCATCGATCCAAATCAATAGATTCTTGAGCCTGGTTTCAGAAGCTACTTCATGAATTCCAACACTGATGTGGATGTTCTGTTCCTCAGCATCTCTCTGTAAAGATGATACAAAGCTAGTCCTCTCTTCAGATTGTGCGAGTGAGTAGGATTGCTCTGCCGAGGATGCGATATAGTCCGATGCCTCTGGAAGAAACAGCACCTAACATATATGAGCTGTCTATCAGATAGTTGGCAATAGAATACATATAAGATTACCTTGGCACCTGCTGCAGCAGCCTTTCCAACCAACACCTTGCACTGAGCTAGATTCGAAGTTATGTTGCTAGTCGAGCATAGCTGCCCCACGGCCTATATCAAAGCAGATTGTTAGTCGTGTGATTTACGCCTGATGGATGGTGTATATACCGCTAAAACCATAGTTACTAAATTTCAGGCCTGAAAGGAACCTAAAAAAACCCTCAAAAAAAGAACCAAGAAAGTACTTTGTTATAGCAATCGAATGGCATCTTTCGACCCCAAAGTGACGAGCCCGTATGCTGACTCAGCCAGTTATCGCGGGCGATAATCTTGCGATAACCTTTCTTCCCGCCAAGACTCTCACCTCGGATCTTTCACAAGACACACAGGTTTTGACAGATCCAGCAACTGCTAGACGGTGGAATCCTATCGTCGCGATGAAGAGTTTAAGGAGAGACTTGTCTGCCAACCCACAGGCCGCAAATGTTACCAGCAAGGTCTTCGTTAGGTCCACAAAAAGTGGAAAGGTGCAAAAGATTGTCCGCGAGCTCTACTTGAGAGAAGATATTCCTTGCTCTTCTAAGCTCTGCTCACAATGCCCGACGATTGCGCCGGCTGATGCCAATGGAAACAGTAAGGAACTTATCATGGTGATGGTCAGGCAAGTTGCTAATGCGAAACAGTTGCGCCGTTCGTCCTATCCGATCGCCCCGCCGGCACAACAGCATTCCCGCGAGGTCACTACCTTGTTCCAGATACAAATGCGCTGCTTAATGGAATGGATCTTTTCGAGCACACTGGGGCCTTCTACGATGTGATTGTCCTTCAGACCGTCCTCGAGGAGTTGAGAAACCGATCACTGCCACTTTATAACCGTCTTCTGGCCCTCGTCAAGTCAGACGAAAAGCGCTTCTACCTATTCTTCAATGAGTTCCGCCGAGAGACTCATGTTCGGAGAGGCCCGGAGGAAACAATCAACGACAGGAACGATCGCGCTGTGCGCATGGTAGCAAGCTGGTACGGTTCCCACCTGCAACAATCAGCGAAGAAGGGAAAGAAAGAGAAGGCGATTCCAGCAATTGTAGTCATAACTGATGACAAGGAGAACCTTCGGAAATGCAAAGAAGAAAATGTGGCAGCCTTGTCGCTATCCGACTATGTCTCCGGTTTGGAGGGGTCCGAAATGTTGCTGGATATGATCAGCGAGTCAAAGGATGCGCGAGATTCCAAAGAAACAACTCGCGGGGAATTATTCTACCCAGAATACTTCTCAATGTCAAAACTCACGACTGGCCTGCGAGCCGGAACATTGCACCAAGGAGTGTTCAATGTCTCTCCTTACAACTACCTGGAAGCCTCTGTCAAGACCGCAGCTTTCGATAAACCTCTTCTCATTTTGGGCCGTGATAACAGTAACCGCGCTATTGCAGGCGATTCTGTCGTGGTCGAAGTACTACCAAAGGACCAGTGGAAGAGCCCTTCGACTAAGATCGTGGATGAGGAGGCTGTGACCCGTAATGATAACCCTGATACTGAGGAGACCGAGGCTGTGGTGACGGATAGAGAACGCAAAGCTCTCCAGGAAGAAGTCAAAAAGGCCCATGGCAAGAACTCGGATGGCAAGCCACAACCTACTGCCAAGGTTGTTGGTGTGATCAAGCGCAGCTGGCGTCAATACGTTGGTCACGTTGACTCGAATTCTACTGGCTCACAGGCCTCTGGCAGACGGCAACAAAACGTTTTCTTACTGCCTATGGATAAGCGTATCCCGAAGATCAGAGTACGCACAAGACAGGCTAGCGAGATTATCGGTCAGCGTATTCTTGTCACCATCGATTCTTGGGACCGGGATTCGAGATACCCTACCGGTCATTTCATTCGGTCTCTGGGAGAGCTCGAGACCAAGGGCGCCGAAACCGAGGCTCTATTGCTTGAATATGACGTGCAGTACAAGCCGTTCCCGAAGTCTGTGCTGGACTGCCTTCCATCTGAAGGGCATGATTGGAAGGTCCCTGCCTCGAAGGAAGACAAGGGCTGGAACGGCCGGAAAGATCTCCGAGACTTGCTTATTTGCAGTATCGATCCACCTGGCTGTCAGGATATTGATGACGCACTTCACGCGCGTCTCCTGCCAAATGGAAACTTTGAGGTTGGTGTCCACATTGCGGATGTGTCGCATTTCGTCAAGCCCAACAACCCAATGGACCTCGAGGCCAGTGTTCGCGGAACCACTGTTTACCTAGTCGATAAGCGTATCGACATGCTCCCGCATCTTCTTGGTACAGACCTGTGCTCTCTCATGCCCTATGTTGAACGATATGCCTTCTCGGTTCTGTGGGAGATTACACCTGATGCCGAGATAGTGTCTTCGAATTTCACGAAGTCGGTCATTCGCTCCCGGGAAGCATTCAGCTACGAACAAGCTCAATTACGCATTGACGACAAATCACAGCAAGATGATCTGACCGAAAGCATGCGCACCCTCTTGAAATTCTCCAAGGTTCTCCGTCAGAAGCGTATGGACGCCGGCGCCTTGAACCTTGCCTCCCCAGAAGTCCGCATTGAGTCTGAGGGTGACGAAGTGGGCGATCCTTTGACGGACGTCAAGACTAAGGCTATGCTTGACACTAATAGCTTGGTCGAGGAGTTCATGCTTCTCGCCAACATCACTGTTGGCTCGAAGGTCTACGAGTCCTTTTCTCAGACAGCCTTGCTGCGTCGACACGCCACTCCCCCGCCCCAGAATTTCGAGGACCTCCAAAACCAACTCTCTAAGAAGCGGAACATGGAGCTTGATGTCTCCAGCTCGCGGGCTCTGGCTGATTCCTTGGACCGCTGTGTCGATCCCAAGAACCCATTCTTCAACACCCTGGTCCGTATTTTGGCGACCCGTTGCATGACCTCTGCCGAATACTTTTGCGCGGGCGCCTTTGCCGAATCTGAATTCCGTCACTACGGTCTTGCCTCGCCCATCTACACCCACTTCACTTCGCCCATTCGACGATATGCCGATCTGATGGTTCACCGCCAATTGGCTTCTGCCATTGGGTATGAAGGCGAGGATGGACACGCAGTCATCGAGGGTGTCAGCACCCGCAACAAGCTAGAAGACATCTGCCGCAACATCAACGTCCGTCACCGCAACGCACAGCATGCCGGCCGCGCTAGTATTGAATACTACGTCGGTCAGGCTCTCAAGGCCCGTGGAGAGAAGATGGCCGCCAACGGTGTTGATGCGGGTATTGAAGAAGAAGGATACGTCATGCGCGTGTTCGAGAACGGTGTTGTAATTTTCGTTCCCCGCTTCGGTATTGAAGGTGTCGTTCGTCTGGAAGACTTTGTCCTGCCTGGTGAATCTGGAGCTCGTTCTGTCGCCGAAAGACGGGAGCTAGCTCCTCACCGCACCACGGAGTTTGATAGTGAGGAATACACCCTTCGCGTGGAAGAGAAGGGTCACCCGGAGAAGGAACGCAGTGTGACTGTTGAACTCTTCCAAAAGGTCCGTGTTAATGTCAGCTCCGTCAAGGAAGAGGGTCGTGGCGCCGGCAAGAGAAGGGTCCGGATTCTGGTTACGGAGGCATGAACCAAGAACTACATCCATGTAGATTAGATCTAGTGTTAAAACGGCGTTCAAATCAAATGAATGACAGACAATTGTCTATTTTTGTATGTTCAGTTTGTCTGCCATATCTGTACTCTGCGCTAGTTATGCAATTATATTCAAACCTTTTTCAAAGTTATCATTCTGCGAACCAAGCTGACCGGGGCCCATAACGGAGCATCTATTCCAGCCTCCAAGGCCGGTGCAATAGCCGTAGGGTGGTCTTGCTTCTCGTTTCCACCATGATTTCCAGTCAATGGGCCAGGCTGGACAGGATCACGGCGTCCCTTAGCACGCTCCAACTCGCCAACTTTCCATCCTCGGACGACCCACAAGCATAAGGAAGCACCAACATACATGAATCCAGTAAATAACTGAACGCGCAGGTATGAAGTCCCGCCACCAATATCATGGCTACGGAGCTGAAGGGCGATAGCCTCGGAGACAGTGCAAGGAGCAACAAGCGTGAGCCAGGTAATGCTCAATCCGGAAGGAAGGTCTCTGATACCAATAATCTCCGCCAGGACGGGAGAAACAGTAGCCCAATACGTGCCCGCGACAGTGCCAACCAAAACGGCGAAGAAGCATACCACGCCCATACTATCAACAGAAGTCCAGATGGCGAGACAAAATAGACCGCAGAGGAAAGTGAGGAAAGTGGCAATATTAATGCGACCAAGTCGATCACTGAACATGCCAACAAACGGACGGCCGAGACCCTGACCGAGGTTGAGCAGCGCTGAGACAATACTCCCCTGGTGCGACGAGAGACCAACGGAGAGGGCGAAGTTGGCAACGCTGAACAACAGTGCCACATAGCCTAGCATGCTGAACACACCCCATCCGAGGAAGAGCAAGAACTCCGGGCGACGTAGGAGAGGCAGATGGAAAGCCGTGAATCTACTACCGACGGCCTTGTTGCGATCCCGGAGCAAGTTACAGCAGACCAGGTTCACGACGCAGGAAATGATACCCAAAATGCGGAACGCCCAGCCCAACCCGTAGCGCGGGATAATAGCGCCCACTGCGAGAGAGTATATCAGACCGCCGAGACCAGATCCGGCGGCATTGATGCCCATCGCTACTCCACGGTGCTTGTCAAACCATTGCGGGGTGATACCGACGCTACCCACGAAGAGGAAGCCCATGCCCCAGCCGAAACAGACACCTTGGCTAAGGAAGATATGCCATTTCTCGGTCGCGAATGAGGACCCTATTAAAGAGAGGGTTTCGAGGAAGATGCCTAGGTTGAGTACAAACCGTACACCCCATTTGTGGATCATGTGGGTGGCTAATGGGGCCACCAGGAGGGCACAAGATATGCTCAAGCCGCCTGTGAAGGCGTACGATAGAGCAGATGTGTTTGGGAATACATCATTTGAAAGGTAATAGCTCAGAAAGACTCCGTAGCTCTGGATATTAGGCCTGTTAGTAAGATGGTAGTGCAAAGGCGAAGATATATGACTCACACTATTGATGCCCCATGTATGCGCATTAATCCAGAAAACACAGGCGACACAGACCCAGCCATAGCCACCATCCGGGGCGACATCGCGCTTATATTTTTCATCTTCGTCGACGTCAAGTGGTACCGAGTCTGGATGCAACTTCTGTTCCTGTTTTGCGCTCTCTCGGTCTATATCGTCTTGGTGGGAACGGATGATATCAATTGGCACATTATCTGCCATGGTAGCTCAGATACAAGCCCAGCTTGTTGTTATTTTTATGAGCTTCTTGTAGGACCCAAACCAGTTGCCGTTTTTCTCACGACATGGAGGTATTATGTACTTTGTAGTGAAAAGAAGCAAGAGACCTAAGTTATCACGCTAACGACAAAAAGGGACTAGATTTCGATCAGATTATCAATTGGTAATAATTGGAGTCATCGGACTATCGGACTAAAGGCCGAATCCAAGCATGGAAGGAAGATTGTTCGTATAGAGAAATGATGGCCAGGATCTCGTGGTTCATTATTTCCATTCGGCGATATCTGACCAATGAAAGAAGCTGATATACAACTATCTGCATACAACATAACTGCAGTTCTCAGTCGAGGCGTCAGCGCTACTTGGCTGTGGAGTATCTTGTGCCGAGAAGCCGATGCGGAGAGAATCCAGTCGAGTCTCAGTTGGGCAGATGTGGGGGATTTTTGAGTTATTCCCAAGGTTTGAAGAATGGATGTCTTAGCTTAAATAGAGAGATGTCTCCATAGGGCTGGTTCTCTTATCAAATATTGACAATAGTATTGTATATGTTGTATATTGTATACGATAACTAACTATATATTTGAATATGCACCTACGTTGTCCAATTTAGGGCTTAATAGGGCTAATTATAATCAAACCCTTATCTATCGATAAAGGATATATGATGAGTCATCCGTTGCCTCGCGACGGACCTTAGGGATTTGTTTGGGAGGGGGACCAGCCCAATGACGCTAGCCAGCTCAGACCGTCAAGTGTAGATCGCAACTAGACTCTTCTCATCTTAGTTCATCTTGGTCCCTCTTTCCTGTACTTATCCGTATATCTCCTCAATATCCTTGATCCTTGCAATTCCATGATGCATAAACATACCACTGGCCAGAGGAAGGTTTCACCTCCTGGTCCATCCTTCATGTCCGATGATCAAGTTTGTAAGTGATTCTTTGGTGTTGGGCGACTCAGAGCTGATATGAGTCAACAGCAACGTACTTGAAGGACTTGCGGGCAAATCGTCCTGCTCGTCCGACAGGATCTCGTCCATACCCAGGCAGAACAGCCGCGTCAACAAGCGATCTATCTGATAGCCTTCCGCCAAGGGCATCCTCGGCGTTCTCCATGCACGCCCCAGTCGAAGATGAAATTAAAGATCATCGACGATCAGGCAGTGCAATGTCCCATCGTCGGACCAATTCCCATGTGCCTGGCGGCGGCGCAATGGGTCGTCCTTTAGCTCAGGAGCCACGTACGCACTCAATTCGAAAAAACGTGTTTCCAGCACAAATCCATGCACGTACCATTCCCATTCCAGCATCTCCAGCTCTGTCCTATCGTGAAGATGGTCAACGACGACACGAAAAGGAAGAGGCACGGTCGCTACGAGATGCCTTGCAGAAAATGGATGTCCAGGACGATGTCGGTCTTCACCAAGCAGCCCAGGATGAGGCCACTGAGCTAGTTTGGATGCACCAGAATCCTGGCCAAGCTTTCAAAAACCCTTATGCACCATACCAAAACCCCGATGCCAACAAGGGCAACCAGAGCCCTGTCCGAAATGATTCGCGAGGGTCTAACCCCTCGACCAATAGATTCAGCCAGTCGAGCGTTTCCTCTGATGGTAACTCTAGCCCTGAGTCGATTCGGAAACGATCATCTCTCGCTGGACCATCGAAGAAGAACCTCAAAGTCAACTTTAAACTACCTGACGAGGAACCCGAGCAGCCTGTTGCCCCCAAGCCACGGACCGTCAGCAGTGATTCATCTAAAGGGGTTTTCAGGAACCCTAACGACCAAATTTACGAAGAGCCCATTGACATTCAAAAGGAAGCCGAAGCAAAGCCAGACTTCTCCAAGTCTGACTCGTCAGCTTTGAAGAACAAACCGCGCAACGCTCTCGGGCGTGTTCCTAGGCCGCTACCTTGGTTGCAGAATAGAGCTCACAGCAGCCCTGTGATGGATAAAATCTCCCGGTTTGAAACTCACAAGAACCCTCCCACCCAGTCGCGTAACTCCGGCTACACTCGAAACGAAAGCGCTACTCCTCCTCCTACTCAGTCGAACAACGCCAGTTACACTAGAAACGAGCATGCTAGTCCGACTCCTCCACCCGAACAAAAGGATGAACCTGTCCCCACCCAGGATGGAAGAGAGAGGCGCAGCGATGATATCCGAGCGGCTACCAGCAAGAGACGAGGTGACCGCAGTGAGAAGCTGCCAATGCCTTCAGCGGTCAGCGATCGAGTTGGACGCCCAATCGTGAGCTTTGACCAAACATGGAAACCAGTTGATCAGCCGAAGCCTGAACGTCCAACCCTACCCGTAATTGAAGTGGCAGCACCTACCATCGAGGTCTCAGCCCCCACAATTGAAGTCTCCGAGCCACCTCCAATCCCCGTGATCAACGTCCCAGACACCAAAGTGCCCACTATCTCCGAGATAGAGGCTCCTTCCAAGCAACCGACCAGACCGGTGCCCCAACCGACGAGAAATAGCCCAACTAAACAGGCTTTCCCAAAACAGCAGGGATCTGATTCGCAGAGCCGTTGGTACTCGCCCTATACACGATCCGGTGTCCCGACTGCAAGCTGTGAGCTATGTACGCTTTCCATTTCGGGAAAAATTGTGACCGCTGGCGGATGTCGATTCCACCCGGAGTGCTTTACCTGTTCCCACTGCCACACAGCTCTCGAATGTGTGGCTTTCTACCAAGAACCCGCGTCCAGCAGAGACGAGAGACTAGCAACAACCGAGGCTCATGACCAAGAGGCCCGTGTGCCGCGGTTCTACTGCCACCTGGATTTCCACGAGCTGTTCAGCCCCCGTTGCAAGAGCTGCAAGACTCCCATTGAAGGAGAAGTGGTAGTAGCATGCGGTGCCGAATGGCATGTCGGCCACTTCTTCTGCGCAGAGTGCGGTGATGTAAGTGTGAATTTCCTTGCCAATACTTCCACTTCCACACGCAAGACAACTAACAATTTTCTCTTCATATAGCCCTTCGATTCCCAAACTCCGTTTGTCGAGAAAGACGGCTTCGCTTGGTGTCTCCACTGCCACTCGCGCCGTACCGCGCCACGTTGTCTGGGCTGCAAGCAGCATGTCATGGACGAGGTTGTCATCAGCGCAATTGGTGGTCAGTGGCACGAGCGCTGCTTCAATTGTCACGAGTGTGGCGATGGTTTTGGTCCGGAGGGCCGATTCTTCGTTCGTGAAGGCGAGCCCAAGCGTACAGCCAAGGGCCGCATTATCGGTGGCCCGGTCCAATTGGCTATCTGTGAGAGATGTGAAGGTATCCGTCTTAAGGCGCCTGGAATGTGCTGAACTTTTGCACCATCTAGTTGAGTGAGGGGTTTCGACCACAATGTTTTAACGAGATTACTGCTTTTATGATAGATTCACGCATGATGTCGGTGTTTGATTGTTGCATCAGTTGATTCTTGATTTGTCTGCATGTGTTCTACAACCCTTTTCTTGGGGTTCATTTCGGGAGTTTGTTCGTTCTTGTGTTTGTGTTTTTTGTTAGCCAGCGAAGATTGTTAGCGATGAACATGATATTGGCCATGGCAATGCATTTAGAATGGGAGAGAAAAAAACGCCTCAAAACACCTCTCTCTTATCGTATCATATAGATGAATGATTCTAGTAACTTCCCGAGGTCCCATATTCACCTCCCTAATTAGGTATCTAATCCTCTTCACTCCTTTTCAAGCAGGCCATTCAGGATCAGCCTTGCGTCTGAAGACAGCGACATACTTGTTTCCCTTATTTCTCGTAACTTTCTTCGACTCCTCCGTCTCAAACTTCATAACCCGCACACAAGGATCAAGAGCAAGCTCCTCCTCAGAAACCCGCTCAAACAGATCCTTACTGCTCGCAGCAGGAGCAGGCCCACCCTCCGGCTGCTCACCATGCAAGAAATGCCGCAGAACCCAGTGGTGATACTCCTCGACATCAGTAATGGTGTACAGCAGACCGCCGGGCCGCAGGACAAACGCATACTCGGAGTTCAGGGACTCGGAGATAATACGGGCCTTGTGCTTACGGGCCTTGAAATGCGGATCCGGGAAGCAAATAAAGATCTTGGAGAGTTGGTGGTGGCCGAAGAAGTTGGGGAGGAACTTCATTGTGTTGCTGCGGATTGCGGTGATGTTTTCGAAGTTTCCTGGGAAGAGTTTCTCCGTGCCGATTTCGTCGTCGTTGGCTGGGGCTGGGGCAGAAGTTGATTCGGTGTTTTCGGGTTGCGTCGAGGCATCTTGGGGTTCGGTTGATGATGGGTTCGCGGCTTTATTCTTGAGTCGTTGTTGTTGGCTGCGCAGGGCGTGGATGCGAGAGCTGAGGTATTCCAGCACTGAGATGCGGATTTCCATGCCTGTGGTTTGTTGTTAGTTATGTGGTGCTCATTATTCATTCGGGCGAGTGTGAATATGTATAGTGTTGAATATCGCTGCGCTGTACTTACCGACCATGAGGGTATCTGGCAACAATGGCGCCAGACCAACCATCAGCCCGCCGAATCCACATCCGATATCCACGACTTCGACTTCCTTGGTCAACTTGCGCCCTCCGCTGAGGTTTGTTTTGGATGTATCTGGGTCCACGAATGCAGGATAATGGGGTGACCAGTCCATATGCGCGGGGCTGATAGGGCTATTGGAGTAGTTAGCTTTCCGTTTGCGATCGGATGGGCGTAGGAATTGTCGCCAGTGAAGCTCGACAACCCAATGGATATTCCCATAGAAATGGTTTGACGTGCAATAGGCAGAAGAGGAGAATGAATACATACTACTCTAGCCGGTGATCAGAGAAGGGATTCGCATGCGCGCGCTGGCGGAAGAATTTCTTCTGCGGCATCTTGATGACGGAGTCATCGGTGGATTCCTGCTGGGCCTGTACTTTGCGACGGTACTCTTCGCGCTTGACGCGCTTTGCAGGTGGGTTTTGGGTGGCCATTGTGAAGATCTGACAACCTGGGGAAGCAGAGAAGCAGAGAAGCAGGGAAAAGTCGAGAAACCGAAAAGATCGAAGTCGGCGAAATTGAGAAAATCCCGGCCCCACCTTTTACTCCACGTGGAGTCTCTCGACTTTCGACTTTCGACTTTCTTGTCTTCTTGTCTTCTTGTTCTCGACATTTGCACTTGTTAACTTGACTTGTATTTGCATTATTTGAGCTATTGTCACTCTTTAATACCCTTCAACATGACAACAATACCCCCCTTCCCCTTCCCACCAACCTACAATTTCCCCCCTTCTTCACCCCGCAACCAAACACAACAACCCGCCAGTCACAGCTCGAGAAATGGTCTTCTCTAATCCAGTCCTGGTGCCGACATCACCGCCAATACCGTCTCTCCCTAATAGACGCCGTTGAAACTCCGCTCTTCCACAACACAGCCCTGCGCAAGCGCCTCGATATGCGCGATGCCCGCGAGGTCATCGACTGGATGACCAAGAGCGAAGAGGAAGGCGGCGGTGGGCGGCGAGCGGAGTGGATCTCTGATGCGGGCGGTGCGTCGTCTTCAGTGAGCTTGATAAATGGTGCTGGGCAGGGGCCGAAGTCTGTTGCATGGATTTGGTGGAGGAGGCCTGAAGAGTGGGCGGATGTGTTAGTTGAGTGGGTTGAGAGCACTGGGCAGAGGGGATCGGTTCTGACGGTCTATGAGCTGATCCATGGGGAGGGGGCTATGTCGCAAGGTGAGATTATGCCTTTGGTTGTGGGTGATAGTGTCTACATTTTATACTGATCCCCGTCTACAGAGTTCCATGGTATGGATACTGATGTCATGCTGCGCTCGCTGAATGTCTTGGTTAAGAGGGGCAGGGCACAGGTTTTTGGTGGTGAAGGCCAGGAGGGTGTTAAGTTCTTTTGAAGAGCTCAAGATGAGATACTGGGATTTCTCTATGAGATAAATCGTGGCTATTCGTGACAAAAACAAAGCGCTTCTCATGTGCAGGTCAAAAGACAGGGTAAACCACGTCGCCGGTACTCCAAACTTATACACAGTATTCATGTTCTTAGGCTGCAAGCCCAAAGTGGAAGGGATGTGGACTCGATACCTTGGTATCAGTCTACTGGTCTGCGTTCTCGATCATCTCCTCGGTCAGCTCGTATTCGTCGGTGGGACGTGTCTCCTGCGACATGGCCATGTCCAGAAGCCAGTCAACTCGGACAATCCGTGGAGTTTTCTTGATATCGAGCGCCACTTGACGGAACCGAGGCCAGACTCGACCATGATTAGCTCCGGCGCTGCTGAGAAGAAAGACATCCTTGCTGGCAGGCTTGTCGTCTTCCGCTTCGCTTTCTTCGTCGCTCTCCTCACGCCGAGAATGGTGCGCTATAGCCAGACGCCCACGGAAAAGCATGCACTCTCCTCCGTTTGTTTCAACAATAGATTTGAATGCATCAAATCCACCCCGAATGTCCTCGACGCAATAGATGCGATAGCCTTGCAGCATTTTATTCTTGTTATTCTTTGCATTCGTTGTGACAGAAGACAGGTCAAAATTGTACTTCTTCTCGGCTTCTTTATCCTCCAGAGGGAAATCGGAGGGGTCAAGCAATTCCTGCTTCTTTAGGCAACTGGTGATGAAGTCTGTGCTCACGATCATCGGCGCATACGCGAGTGCATTGACAAATTTAGTGGTTCGCAAGATCGAGGGTGCGGCCAAGTGAGTGCATCGTCGGGCATCTTGGACCACCATAATACCGAGATCTCGAAGGCCTCGCTATGAAAAGTATTAGTACATAGACCTTGAGTCAATCATATTTATGACTGCAGTAGCCAAACGAACCTTATCTGCATCCTCTTTCTTCTCGTTGCCCTTCCCTACCCATCTCTGATAGCCAGTAATTAAAAGGTGCATAGCAATTGGTGGCCGAGACTTTTTCTGTCGTTTAGTCTCCACTGCTTGCTCGCCATCGCTCTCATCCTCAGCTTCAAGCGAGGCACGCTTCTTGTTCTCCTGAACCCGACCTTCGTCTGACTTGCGTCTGCCGCCGTAGATAACACCGCCCACACGTTTCCTTTCCTTTTCGTACAAGGCAAGATCCGGGGCATACTCATGGAGCCGGGCAGTTGCTGCCTCTTTTGACTTGCGGCTACTGGTCGACGATGGAGTCTCATTTTCTTTGCCCTCGGACATGATTCGGGTTCGTGCCGGTGTTTGGATGGGTTGGCGTGATTTGCCATTGCCCTGCGGAGTACCGAGCGAAGTCTCAGGGGCATCCTCGTCAATCTTCCGTTTCTTCTCGGCGGGAGGCTGCACTGAAACCATATTTTGGTTCTTGCTATGCATTGCACGTCGTGGGCTATGAGCAACAGTCTCCCCGGACGAGAAAAATACCTGTTCCAAAACATTGCGGTCGAGCTGAGTCTGGCCTGCGACTTCTCCGAGATTAGTTCGCAGAGGGAAGTGGCTGTAGCGCGGGTTTGAGGCCGGCTGTAGCTTCCATTTTGCATAACTGTCCTCCAGCCACAGGTGGTTGACAACTTCGAGGCCCCATTCCTTCGCCGCATTGCATTTCTCACTTGTTCCATGTGCCGTAATCAGATGAGTATTTTCTTGTTTTAATGTTTTGGTACACTCCGCGCCTGCCGCTGCGATCAAGTTCTCCAAGTAGATTCTTGCTTCGCCAACATAATTGGACAAACTGATCTTCAAGCCTTCAAACCCGGGGATGCCAGTGCGAGAAATTGGGTAGTGCAGTAGTCGTCTGAGGGGTGAAGTATATGTGTTGAATGTCATGAGGCGGTAGAGCCATGCGAGGTTTCCAACGTCTATGTTCAGTCGCGATGCCGTGCGGTACGCAAATCCTTCCCGGTAACGACAAATTAACATATCTGCTCCATCAATATTTGAGGCCATTGTGGCGCCGCCTTGTTCAAGGACAGTTTTGATTGATTCCTGCAAATGCGAACCGATTCCAAGATCCGGAGATAGCATAATAGACTTCCCTTCGAAGACACTCCGTTGGCCTGATTTATGTACCGAACTGGATGGCTCGGGTAGCTTAGACGGGTCGGTTGTCGACGCGCCGACCAAATCCTTATTATCTTGGCATCGAATTGGAGTATCAGGGCCCACGCGCAAGATTTCTGGGTCTGGAAGTGTATATGGACGTTCATCGATTCGTCGACCAAGTTTAAGGCAGTCGTCAAACCTGTTCGCGGTCAGTGGGGGTCTCTAACTGTTGTGCCATGAAATCTCACCAATGCGGTAGTACAATCTTCACGTTTAATTTCTTCGCCTGGACAATGCGCGCCTTGTCGGAATCGGCTGTGAGGTCCACCAAGTGCGTAACCATCTGAGAAACTCTTGGGGCGTACAATCCACCTTTCGCGACGACACCACCTATGATTGCATCCTTGTCTCCCTCGGGGATATCGCCGCAGGTAACCACCACATCGTTCATGAACAGACGCGGGTCTGGGCTGTATTGGCGGGGGTTGGCCAATTTTCGCTTCGTCAATGAGTTACTCACCCATTGTGGCTTGACCACAGGGATCAGCGCATCGCAGGTAGTATCGTAGGCTTCAAAGTCAATTGTGGTAGAAATCAAATGGCTGAACTTGGCCACATCGGGGACCTCGGCACCAGGTTGGACGATCAGAGGCTCGCCGCCATTTTGCTCGAGAATAGTTGCCAGCTAGGTAATTTTATTTTTGTCAGTCTAGTTCAAGCGGTACTAATGGTAGGAAAACACGTACCTGCTCCGCGGAGTCACTCGAGAGATCCTTGGAGCATACAATGCAGAGGCAACACTGCTCGAAGAGCTTGGACTCTCCATTTTCAGTTGCCATGGCCAAATTTGTGGATAAATTATGCGATTAAAGACTGGGGCGTTGAGTAAAATATCTCCAAGAGAGTCACATCCAAGTGTAGAATCAAAATGAGGCAATCGGGGACGCGCCCACGCGTGTCAGGAACGCCGGATCACGTGCACCGCAGTGCGTGGGTACTCCGTACTCCATAACGTCAGCCTTTTTTTTAACTATGTTATGATACATGTAATTTTGTTAAGGCGTTCGACTTCGAGGATATTCTGCAACTATAGGATTTACTAAGCTCTAGAGATGAGGACCATCCGATAATCAAGTTATAAGTTACTAGTCCTCGAGTAAACGGCTCTATTAAAATATTGTTTCGTATTCTTTAGGATCAATTCTCTTCTCTACCGGTCGAGGAGTAACTATAGTTCTTATCCCAGCTATTTTAGGGTACTTTGTCCTAATGCCTCTATGCTTTATGTGTGATGGGAAGGCTTCAACGCCTAGAAATAAGGTAATCATAGGATTTGTATGGGTGCGAATACCGTCAGAGGAATTGAAGACTGGAAGGGCTGTGTAATAGTAATTCAGGTATCTTTGTTTTCTGCCAGCTTTAGTGCAGGCACCATCCGAAACTTTCAGGTACCAATACCGTTACAAACCGCATCGGACCCCCTGGCAACTATACACCTGCATACAACGCCCCACTCCAACTTCATCTATGGGTTCACCTCTCCACCTTGTCAAAACATATCTTCACTCTTTCATATCTTCACTCTTTTGTGCTTCAACGATCTCCTGAATTAACCACACCCCCTTGAACGAACAATGCTAGCCCCAGAGATCGCTAACTTGGTGCAATTCTTCTATCCTATTGGCAACACCCCTGCTGTCTCCTTGACTCAGGATCTGCCATCAAAGAAGAAGGCTGATCTACTGCTTCTCGGCTGTGGAGATGTGCGCCACGTCCTCTTCACAGTACACACGGAGCAGCAGGGTCGCGATCCACGTCCTTTAGACGTCACATGCTGCGATGTAGACACCGCTGTGATTGGTATGACGACTGATTCCAATTTCAGGTTCTAGAAGCTAATTAGAAAAAATCATTCACAGCTCGCAACATCGTGTTGCTGTCCCTGGTTCTCGATGATGTTGATGGTGCCAACGATCAACTCATTTGGAATCTATTCTATCATTTCCGCATTGATGAAGGTTCACTTAATCTGTTGCAAAGGCAAACAACTAAACTGTTGTCCCTGTCAACATCGCTGCACACATGGCAACAGAGTGAGTATGGCCGAGTGATCAGGATGTGCGATCGTATCTCTCTTGAACGGGTCCGCGACATGTGGCGCTTCTACGGAGAAAAGAGAGAAGGCGATGCGCTTCGTCACTTTAAAAAGAAGCTCGATGATGGAATGAAAACTTCTCAACAGTTTCAAAAGTCGGTTGTTGGTGACAAGATGAGTGTGATAACAGGAATCCGAGCTGCTGCCCCTGCGTGCTTGCAAGCTGCCAGTGCTCTCGGTAATTTGTACAAAAATTATTGGGCGTTCGGTACCACCGAGACTGATAAAACAGCTCGCTCCCTTGCCATAAATCCCAACCCCATGTTTGCGCCCAAGGATGGAAATATGTTTTTGCATTATGGGACTGACCCGGTGCTTGGATTCCACATCGGCTCTTGTTATGCCCCGATTAAGCCAACGTCACCTCAGTCAGGTTCTTCTTCCGTGACACCTGATTTGCATGAAATCGTTAAAACCGCCAAGACAGAGTTCAGTACCTGGACGAAGTCGTTCAGGGCGCATTCCATGGCTGACTTGGTCATACTACGGTTCTTTGTTGGAGATGCGGTGGCATTTGCATATGCCCTCCAGCAGATCCGCATCACCGGTCCCTCAAACTCGTCTCATTGGTATCGTGATCGTTATCATTTCGAGCCGCTGGTCTTGGACGATGAGCACTATTCGGACGCCTCAGCGCCACTTGTGTTTGACATTATTGACACGTCTAACCTTATCGATCATCTTGGGGCCTTGAATCTGCTCACTGCCACTTCCCCGCTTCTTCGCAATAGCCTCTCGGCGACTCTTTATTCAGAGAAGCTCGTGCGGACTCAGGAAACTCAGATATCACTTCTTGAAACTCTTCTATGTGGAGACATGCCTACGGTTACCTCGCTTCTCGGCTTGGTGCCCGTGGAGGTGGCGACAAACACCGCCTTCTCGTCTGCAGGAGATGAAGCTTTATGTCAGAATACGTCAGGCCCCTCGTCCAAGGCCGGACAAGTGTTCTCGAGAATTGCATGGAAGAGACCATTGAATCCGGGTGATGTAGCTGTCAACACGCTGGGCCTTATTCACTTTGATTCCGCCGGCCTAGCACAGGTGCTCTATCGTGTTTTCTTGACAATGTTCGCCGACGAGGATGTCTCGAAGTTGCTTGCCAGAATGCGAAGCGCACAAATACAACATCTGCCTACTTACAACCGGGCGAGCTTTGTCGCTTTCCTTTGCCTCGTCAAGACACGGACCAGCACTAACTGGGATAAGACAATGAAAGAATTACTTCATCTCATGGATCATGACACCGGTCTCGCATTTGCCAATACCTACATGCAAGAGCTGGTTCTGTGGATGCATCTGAAGGGTCTTTATTCTGTTGATATTTTAAAAACCCCACCACACAGCCGGACTGGCCATCCCCAAACTGGGACCTTGCAGGGCTGGCAGAACATGCCACCTATGGTGAGTGTCACCCTTCGTGTTCCTCGGAGTAAACTAGACCCCTTTATCGCCGAAGCCGTCAAGGCCGGCGGTACACCTCCGCTCCAGGCTGTTCTGCAATCTTCCGCACGAGCTGCCAGGCAGTGGCAAAACATGTTTGCGGAAACTCAGATTGGATTTGGTAACCTTAAAGCTAAAGGATCCAGATACAGCGATGAGTTTGAAGTGGAAATTGATGAAGACCAATTAGGATGGAAGGGACAGTCACCGATGTTTATTTCCTTCTATGTGCCAAGTTGGATCTTACTTCAAGAACCATGTACCGCCACTGTCTCGCTGGCTATCCCGCACTCTCTTGCAACCGCCCAGATATTTGGCAGTAGCTTGGGACACAACCTGAGCATCTTTACTGCCAAACAAGAGGATGTTGAACATGTCTACGTCACCAAGAGTCAGCCACACCAGAGTGATTTTATGTCCATCCACGGCTTTTATTCAGAGGACGTCAAGAACGAAGTCGGCCCCGACCGAAACTCAGAGACAACCATTACTGCCACCGTCAATGAGAAAAGCGGCCAAATTTCATCGTTCACTGCCCGTGTCCAAATTCTATGCGAGCAATCAAAGGCTCTACTTAGGGATGGCAGCGTGATCACTCGATCCTTACGATCACCGTTCAACTATGCGTTATCTCTCAGAAAGGGACCAAGCTTCAAAGTCAACTTCCCAGCTCCGGTTTTGGACTCCACCGCGAGAGTGAGAATAGCTCGGAAATCATCTTACCTTGAGCTCGTCGCAGATGTCGCCAAGGCCACCGACTGGTCAGCCTTACGGTCTTTTATGTATCCGGTGGTCTTGGATTCGGGATCGCCCACTCCGTGGAACATGCCGCACGTCAATCTCTCATCACTTCCCGCCATAGACCTAACCAATCCTTCCTCTGAACGTCTAGGATTGCTACGGACCCACCTTCCAACTATGTGGTCCGCACCAGAGACTGCCCTGAAGTTTAACCCTTCCTTGCCAGCTACACCGAATACCCGGGCCAGGGTGGACTTCAAGGATGGTTTATTCCACATGTTTCTAGGCTTCAGTGGAACAGCAGGTCCTCAGGCCTCCATCTACGGTATCGACTGCCCCGAAGAGAAGGGCGTGCATATGCTGGTTTTCGTATCCAAGATGTTACTCGACATTTCGAATCGCACTATTGTTCTTGACGCTGCAGTTCTCCCTTTGTACACTGATCTCATGCCGCAAATTATGCCTACTCTGCAAGCCATGGCGGATAGCACCCATTCACCCAAATCAATCCGCACCTCCAAGGACGAGCTTTATCTGTGGAAGGAAGCTCTGCCTGCTTGGACCGAGCGATGCCGATCTTGGTCCCATGAACCTAATTGCGAGTACGTTGCAACGGGCAAGATTCCACTCTCGATCAAATTTGGGGAAAGAGTTCTGTGCTCGTGCGGGGAGGGCACCGTACCAACTGATTTCATGTCCGAGTTTGGTGGATGGAAAGCTCTTGCCAAACACTGTGTGCGGGTAGCCATTTCTCCAGCTTTTGCGTCTGCACTTGTTGATAAGCCTATTGATTTATCCGCACTTTCATCGGTTCGCGATGCCAGTGGTCAAAATTTGATCGGCTGCCAGGTCTGTGGCAAGGACGAGGAAGCCAAAGGTTCGGCTTTGAGGAATTGCTCGCGATGTCATAAAGCAAAGTACTGCTCCAGGGATTGTCAGAAGGCCGATTGGAAGAAACACAAAAAGGTCTGCAAAGCTGGTGGAAACTGAGTCGGAAGGAACACTTTTTCATGTACTGGAATGGCCACAGAAATTGACTTGTAATTTTCCTACAGTAGGTATCTTAAATGGATTATCTGCACTGTTTTATGGTAACTGTAAATGAATAATATTAGTGTCTGACTGCTTGTGGAAGTTCTTAGATCGAGTCCAGTTGGAATGTACCTTCGTAGAGGTGGACAAGGTGAACCTGTCACGCACAGCTCCGTCATTAATCCATTCCTCGATCCAGCCAACGGTCATTCTAGATGTTGTTAGTTCGAACTATTCTTCTCGGGTAGATCTGCTGTATATACTGGCTCCGCTTTGTATCTGCAAAGTTATCGTGGTCGCCAAGCAAATGCTCTTTATCATACGGATCCTCTTTCATCATCCTGTAGTGTGCAACACTCTCAAACACCACCTGACTGAAACAATCATACTCGGCAATATTCCACATTAGGCGATCGTTATAGTACGCCGTGGGGTAGTTCGGGGAGTGGCTTTTTGATTCTTTGTTATACTCTTTGTTATACTTACCTAGGTATACTCGCATTATCAATCAGGGAAAAATCTAGGAAAAGGAGCCAGGTTTAATGCCCCTCGGGTAGTACAATGTCCGAGCAAGTTTACCCAACAGTAACAGACTGGCTAGTTAGCTACCTAGGTACGTAGGTATTAACAGCTCGGGGGTTAGCATGTCCGGCGGCCTTCCAGGAGTACCAGTGGGGCGATCCACCTTAGTGTTATTGGTTGGATATGCTTCGAGATTCAAGCTTGGCAGCGCCACAGACCCACCTGTACCATATCATGGCAAAGCCAATTTCTATACACCAATGTAGTATGTACTTAGGTACTTGGAACAAAGAGGACTTAGGAAGTCCAATTTGGAATCTGGCTGCCTGTAAGTACTCACTATATAATAGGAAGAGAGCCAGTATGAATTTACATCCCCGTCAATTACCAATCCTACGGTCTTTCTTACCACAATACTATTAACTCGCCCCAATCAAACGTTTGTCTCAACTTCAAGCATGTCCATCCGAGCTCTCAATCAGAACTTCCCCTCCTTGGACTCTGCCGCAAATGCAGAAGAGCAGGGCCCCTCTCGCCCTTTCTTCCCTGCCCATGGCGCAGGTGACCATCCTTATCCCAACCCGTGGTCTGTAAAGTCTGGCAACGGTGGTGTCGGCCGTCCAGGCCATCCCTACCCATCTCCATGGACGCAAGGCGAGTACGAAGGCCAAGGTAACGAAGCCAACGACGAAACCGGTGGTCTCACTACCTCTCGCGGGCCATATCCGTACCCAGGCCCCGCGGAAGGTCACCCACCATACACATTTCCTGGTCCCTTTGAAGGCCGCAAACCATACCCTTTCCCGGGCTACGCTCAGCAGCCGCACACCTACCCTGGCCCTCTTCCATGGCACCAGCCACACGCCTATCCAGAGTCTGGAGATGGTAGAAAGCCATACCCTTCCCCCTGGGAAGAGGATGACAAGCACAGGCCGTCCGCTCCTCGTCAACCATATCAGTTGCCTGGTGGCTCGCATAACGCGGCTCCATTCCCCCAACAACCGTACAAATACCCAGGCAACCCTCACAGTGCGACTAATTTCCCTCACCCGTACCCATTACCTGGCAGCCAACATGGAGGACACGGTAAAGGATGGGGCGGAGACATCTTGTTCGGCAAGTCACCTTTCGGCGGCCCTTCATCTGACAGGTACGGGCGATGGGGCCTCGGAGTTCCCCACAGGTCGCAGGGCCCCTGGCCATCCAGTCAACAAGCCCCCTTCGCATTTCCGTCCACTGGATCCGACAAATATAAGCCCGAAGTTGATGTATTCGACACACCTGAGAGATTTCTGATTCACATGCCGCTTCCTGGCGCTAAGAAGGAAGATATCGAAGTCAACTGGGACCCGAAGGCGGTGGAACTCAGTATCACTGGATTGATCGGCCGACCTGGCTCTGAGGACCTGGTCAAGAGGATTGCGCTGGATGAGCGGAAGGTTGGGGCATTTGAGCGCAAGGTGCGATTGGGGAACCCAGTGGATCCGCCCAAAGTAGATGCGGATGCTATTTCGGCCAAGTTGGAGGATGGAGTTCTTGTTGTTGAGGTGCCGAAGACAGAGCCAGATGATGTTGAGGTTAAGAAGGTTGAAGTGGAGTGATTGCTGGTTGGAGACCGCATGGGGCTTTCAGGTAGATAGGACAGTAATCATACAATATTTTCAGTATTTTTGGGTCTACTTGCCTTGCAACCATTTAAAGCATAAGATATCAAATATCTTCTGGCTTCTGTACGTAACACGACCAAGCTGTTGTAACTCACCCGCTAACTCTGTGATACAAGGTATGAAGTTTTATGCGGATACTTAAAAAATGAGCAATGAGTCTATCTAGACCTCGTGGAGAGAAGTACTAACTAGGTACTAAGAGAACGACTAACTGCACACCCCTTAACGTCAGTTTTTACTAACCTCACACCCCTAGTCCATTTTGGGTATGGTATTTCTTAGTCAACCATTTGTCATGCTCTGTGTATTATAATATGGTATTCTCATAGTAAATGACACATTTATCACATGACCTTTGACCTTGCATAGCCCTACCCTCGAAGTCCTTAGCCGAGAATCCGCGCTTGGCCCACATTGACAATTCCACCTTACTATAATTAATCCAATTCCACTTTTGAAGCTATTCACAGATTATGGATCCCTACTATAAAGCACCACCCCTCCCTACCGAGACCTGCGAACCATGGGATTCCGCCCCCCTAGTCCATCGATTCGCCTCTTTAGAAGAAGCCCTTCTTACCCTCAACAATTGGGCCGCCACCGAGGGCTTCTCTATCGTATGCGACCGTACGAAACTAGGGAGGAAGTGCTGGTTAAAATGCAGTTTGACTCCATCGAAAGACATATAAATAAACCAGCGATGAAGTTATACAGTATACAAATTGAGATCTATGAATAGCTTCAAAAGTGGAATTGGATTAATTATAGTAAGGTGGAATTGTCAATGTGGGCCAAGCGCGGATTCTCGGCTAAGGACTTCGAGGGTAGGGCTATGCAAGGTCAAAGGTCATGTGATAAATGTGTCATTTACTATGAGAATACCATATTATAATACACAGAGCATGACAAATGGTTGACTAAGAAATACCATACCCAAAATGGACTAGGGGTGTGCGGTTAGTAAAAACTGACGCTAAGGGGTGTGCAGTTAGTCGTTCTCAGGTACTAATTGTCGATGACTGCAACCGATTCACCGAGGGACAATGCTTTCGAAATAAAGATGAGATTGCACAATACCTCAATGTGGAACTGCCAAGTCTACGCTAATCTTTGCTAGCGCGGTGTATTGCATATACCATCTACACCAATTTATAAGTTCTTAAGTAGGAAAGAAATTGCATGCGGATGAAATAAAACGCCAAGTTTACTAGTTTAAAAGGTATATGCAGGATCCATATTGACAGAATTCTGACTAGGGAGGGTACTTAATCATATTCTGTAAGAGACAGAAGCTTCTCCGCAGTCAATAGCGAATTGACAGAGGTACTAAATTCCACCAATTTCAAAGATAGGCAGTTCTAACATCGGCTCGGAATTGTAGGCAAATAAGAGGCCATTCGGTATTACTGTATGGACATGCTTACATGTATATCTGCCAGGTAGCAATTTCACTCGCAAGTTTGGGTCTGACAGTCATTTAAAACACTAGCTAATGATAGTCTCTCTTCATATAGAATAGAAAAATAGAAAAAAAAAAACTGGTCTCCCTACACAACTATATTTGTTTCCTTTTACGAGGTTTCGTTTGTATATCCTAGGCGGTGTAATTCTGCCGAAAAGTGGGGTTATATTGAACTTTAAGGATGTCCTTTCGCCCTTCGGGGCATATGGTCAAATGAAAATATACAGAGAAGATTAGCATGGCCCCTGCACTAAGGATGACATGTCTCAATCAAAGAGAAGCTACCTATTTTTTTTTCCTTACAGATCATTTATTGAGGGTATACAAGTGTGAGTCTTTTGACAAGGATATAATTGGTCCCGCCCGTTTGGTAAAGTCACATGGTATCACGTGGTGTCGCCGTTCGACCCACCGCCCGAGCACTTGGAATAACGGAATAACCCTGTCGCCCTTCAGGTTCAGGGTATATATGTGATTATGACTATATATGTTTGTAATTACATTTCATAACGCATCCTAATATTGATGAACGATTGCCATGAAATCTCAATCAGACAGACCACACACATTTCAACTGCTTGTCACAGCAATCAACCAGGTTCAAAACACCCATGGGCTCTGATTGGCTACAATCTTCCTTCCATAACTACCCAATCCATTTCTTCGGACATAGGACCATATGCCGCGTCCAATTTACTTGACGGTAGGCTAGATACAACCCCTGTGTTATAAAAAAAAATATGGTTATACATGCATACTTCAGCTGCTATGTACCAATGAATATGTAACCAAAGGTCTGAGAATATCAACATTAAAAAACAAGGTCCAACAACTCGCTCAGATAACCACCAAGCTAGATGCAAACAGCGAACAAGCCAACGAGAAAAGAGAGAGAAAAAAAAAAAAAATTCAAGCCGCCATCGTCAAAACATATGAGGTAATACTATCCATGCGTTCAGTCGTCAACTTCAAGCTAACAGTCAACAGCTCACGGGCAATGCGCGGCTCCTTCTCCTGCATCGATTTCCACTGCACTCCCGTCAAACACCAAGTCACACAATCACGCTCAGCCTTAACCGTCGCCGTGCGGCGCGTATCACTGAAGAAAGGCAATTCGCCGCACGGTCGACCAGCGACAATGAGCTCGAAGTAGCGGCCCTGTGGGAGGTCATAGCCAGCGCGCAACATGCCAGACTCGAGGAGGTAGAAGGCGCGTGGGGCGTCGCCTTCGTGGTACAAGACTGTGCCGGCGGGGTATGATTCGCGGGAGAAGTAGGCGCAGGCGGGGAACCAAAAGTCTTCGTTTTCGGTTGAGAGGCCTTGGAAGGTTTGGAGGAGGAGGGGGAGTGGTTGGCGCATGGCGGACCAGGCGGGGGAGGCCATCATTGCTATTTCGTGGGCTTGGATGGTTGAGGGTCGCTACGCGCTGTAGGTACTGGCGGCGGGGGAGCTCACGATGTTGTCGGCTAGGGTGGGGGGGTTGGGTCCGGAGGGCACGGGGACTGAGGCGGGGACTTGGAGGAACTCGGAGTTTGCGGTTGGGTCGGTGGGTGTGGCGAGTGCTTCCTGGCGGCTATAGAAGACTTTCAGGTAGTTGTTCTCGCAGAACTCAAGGGCTGAGTTGAGGTCTTCGAAGATGGGGACCGCGGACTCCGGCTCGAAAAGTCCTACGTTTTGTAGGGACTTCCCTACATCACCCTCGACATTCAAGCCGGAGATGGCTATCTGTACATTGCGTTTTTGAAGAACGCGGTTGATGCGGGTGAATGCTTCTGCTGCTGAGAAATCGAGTCCGTAGACTCGAGAAAAGTCGAGAATGACGAATCGAATGGGGCGCCGGTCGAAGGCTTCCTCCTCGATCAGGCCACGCATGGTGTTCTCGACATTCACGATGGTTCCAAAGAAGAGATATCCGCCAAGTTTGATCATCAGGGTCTGCTGTCCAGCCTCGCGCAGAAATTGTTGTTGGATAGGAGGACGTCGGACCGTCGATCCGGAAATTTCGCCCGAGAATGTTGCTCGAATGGCAGATTTGCGAGATGTTTGGACGACAAAGTTCACGCAAGCCAAAATGATTCCAACGAAGATTCCAACCACGAAGTCCCAAGCGCCCATCGTAACGACAATAATGACAACGGTTAAATATTCAAGCCGGGTGAGTTTTCCCCAAGTGTCCACCAATGCCTCCTGCAAAAGCTCAATGCCCAGCAAGAAAATTAAGGCACCAACAACCATAATGGGAATATAGCCGATTATGACTGGACCAATGACCATAATACCTGCAGTGGCTGCGGCCAACATCAGACCAGCTAACCGAGATGATCCACCACTTGCAATGAAGAGAAGACTATTGGTATAGACAAGATAGTTCTACTTTCGTTAGCTCATTGACCACAGCTCTATCACTGGCGGTCACATACCTGAATGCTTCCTACGAATCCTGAAAGTGCATTCGTCACGCCATGTGCCATAAGCTCTCTGTCTACATTGAGATTGTCTTCACCGGTGGAAATTCCGAGAGCGGGCACGTTGATGGGTACATGAAGCACACCGAAGAAGGTCAGGGCAAACATGGCCGGGATTGTTTCACCAAAGGCAGTCCAATTGACCTCCGAGAGATCTGTAACGAATCAGCATGGCAACTCTCAAAGCATTGCAGCCGATTGACTTACCATAAAGAGAATAGAAATGATACCACGGGTTGTTGGAAGATGGAGCAGCAAAGACCCATCCATTGTGGCGCAGACCACCCATAGAGATCCTAGCGCTTAAAATAACGATGTAGAACACTGCAGCAACAGCAATGAAGTACCCGCCGACAAGGAAGTTTGAGCGAACAAATCGCTTGAGAACAAGAAGGCCAATTGCGAGGAACAGGGGTATCATCCAAAGAGGGAAAGTGTCAAGGTGGAAAAGTTTCTGGATAGTGGGGAGGTTGTACTCCAGAGACCCGGGAAGTCGGGCTGAAACCTCCACTCCAGTTTGGAGAAGAAAGTAGCCGACGCCACCGATACACCCGATGAGAATATGACGGGGAAAGAAGCCAATGAGCGAGCCCAGCCCGCAGACACCCATTAAGAAGAACACTAAGCCAGTGAGAATTGAACTCACCGAGAATGCTAAGATGGTCGTTGCAATCACTGATTTCGGGTTGTCCTTGCCGATTGAATTCATTATGGTGAAAGCCATCTGGTGGAAGAAGGGTACCACTTCAATCATCTCACTTCCTATTCCTCCTTTGAAGATCGAGCCTCCACAGGAGAATACCACTTGGGAAATAATGGTACTGACATAGAACATCGAGATACCGTCAGTTCCCAGGTGAGCGAATAGGGGTTCTCCCAGAGGGAACAAGATCATTCCATAGGATAAGGCATCAAGAATGTTGAGCAGTAGTCCTAGCAATACGGCAGGAACCAAACTGGCCGGATATACCACAGCCTCTTTCCATATAACTCGCCTATCCCATGACTTTGGGTTCGATAGGGCTCGACTATAGTGGGCGACAGATGAAATTCCTTTCTTTATTAAGTCTGGAGACCGTTTGACAGCCGGCCCTTGGTTCTCAGCATCGCCTGCACTTCCATAATTTTGTGTAGATTTGGATCGTGACTTGGATAATAACGAGGTGTGCTCAGTGTCTCGTTCAGGTTCGTCATAGATCGCCGACGATGGAGGGAAAGAGATATCATCGGTCCCGGGTTGCGTGGCCTGGTCCTCCTCCGTATCCGTCAATGGACAGCGAATCATCTCTGTTAAAGCCGAAGAGCCTGAAGATGAAGCAGGGTCGACAGAGGTATATCCTGGCTCCAACAATCCCTCCCCCGCAGTAGTATGAGAGCTTGTAGCTTCATCCTGGGGGTAACTTGCAGAATTCTGGCTGTCGTGAAATATATCCAGGCTAGGGGGTAAACCGGGCCCGTCCTTCAAGAGGGACTTTTTATTCAGCGATAGGCCATAGGTAGCGAGTTCCGCGGTTTGGTCACGGAGACCGTCCGAGGCATAATGAGCCGGATCTGCCATAGGTCAAATGGTCAGTAAAAAATCGCGCGATGTCTCTAAATTTACAATATGCACAATGACCCACCCATATTGTTGTTGAAGGACCGGTGGTAAAATGAACGATTTGGTGTTCTCGTTGTCGATCCATTGTAACTGGATGATTCCGCTCCCATTGGACCGGGCGGGCTGCCTAGGGTTGCATGTTCCACCAGCGATTCTGACGGGGCGTTACCATAGACGTCGCGGTCAAACATCAGGTTGCGTGACAGAGCTGATGCGCGGGAGTCGCGACGACCACGAGGTTGCAAAACCCCCATGGTTTCTTGCGCAATTGCTGTCCAACTAAGTGATGAAGTCGAAAAAGTTTAGGAAATCCGGAAGATAAACGGGGCCACTAGCGCATGGGGCGGCCGTTTGGACAAACAGATGACGCAACGGAGACGAGCATTGCACAGACACACAGAGGGGGGGGACTCAGTGGGATTATATGGATACGAAGTAGTAGAGGGAAGTATAGTTATCAACACAAATATGAATTAGCAACGGACCAGATAGAAAGAAAAAAAGAAACCCCCGAGGTACCGGAGTTTTTGACTAAACGGCCCTTATCTCTTTCTAACAGTCGAGCTAAACCACATCCGGACTGATACAGATGAAGATAAGTGATTGGTCTGTGCGGGTGACCATCTCCCCTAAGCTATGGCTTCCAATCTTCCAAGGTTGTCTCTTCAAATGCACTACTGCACTAACTAGTTAGTTAGTTACCTTGGTAAGTCTAGACTAAATTACATAATTGAAATAGTATGTAACTAACTAGTAAGCTACATCTCCGTAGTCGGACGCAGTGTTATACACTACATGATCGGCATTGACACCATGCAGTAGCCTCAGCCTTGTTATTTACTTGCATAAAGCGATAAGCCAATGAGCTACTACATGGTTATTGGTCGAGATTTTCCAAGGTTACCTTAAAAACCTGCCTAGCTTTGGACATATCACCTCGATAGCTTAATTCTTTCTCGCCTTTCCAAGGTGATTGTCTTAGAGTAGATCTACCTTCGTAGGCTCCACCTCGATTGGTATTTTACCATAGACCAATCTAGCCCTAGAGAATAAATTCGAGAAAAAAAGCCAGCAAACCAGTAGTCATACATAATCAGACTGTTGTCACACTATTTCAATGCAGAAAATCATCATATTGGCCGTTAGGTCTAGACACGCTAACGGCGGGGGTATCTCAAAGTTCATGGTCCCTTCATAAAACCACTGTAGATAGCCAACGCCAATTCATGTTTCTTTTACTCATATAGAACCCGAAGCAGCCAGGTAGTCCCAATTCACATTCAAGTCAACCGCTCCAGGAAACCCTGAGCAATCAGCCGTTCCACATCACCCTGACGAACATAGAGTTGACTGTTCTTGGTCAAGTTGATCACACTAAACCCAAATTAGCCACCAGATGCCCAAACAATATACCAGAAAGTGAGATAAAAAAACATACCCATATTCTGTCTGGATCTCACCAGCATCCTTCAACACCCGTACATCAATAAACAAATCCTTAGGCGGCTCCAACGTCCCCGTCAAATCAACATCCGTCCACTGGCCCTTGTACGCAGCAAGCATATCCCCATACTGGCGAAAATACTCCTCCTCCTCAGGACTCAGCGAGCTATGCCCGTTAGCCCCAAGAGCCGTGTGCTGAGCCGCCCCACCATCCTCGGACGGCTGCTGCTGCTCGAGGATATCCACTCCCATCCAGCACAGCTCCTCGAGTTTCTCAGTGCGCACACGGTGGTACGCGAGTAGACAGCGCTTGTTCCGGCGCATGCAGAGGTGGTCGACGAGGAGGGCACAGGCGATGGCTGGATCGGCCGAGGGGTTGAATGCGCCCTCGAAGGGCTCTAGGAGGCGGGTGACATCGCGGTCGAGATCGCGGACTTCGCGCGTTACTGCGCGCACGATCTCCGTTTGGTAGGGGGTAGATGGGCGAGGGATTGGGTGCGTTTGGCATGTTGGACCTATCGTGGGTAAGGTGTTGGTCAGCTGGTTGCTTTTTTTTCCCTTGTTTTGCTTTTTGGCGGTCGGTGTTGGGGTTGAGATTGTCAATGCCCGGGGGGAGCAAGAATAAATCTATAGCTCACGTACCAATTTGTTGCCGAGTTCGCCGTACATGGTGGCCACGCGGTCGGGGTCCTGGTGAGGGACGCGACTTTGATCCATTTCGGCGAGCGCCAAGATTAGCTCTTAGTCAGGTGGAGTGATCGGCGCCAAGGTCAAGTATGGAGTCACTTCTTGGGCAAAGGTTCTTTATCTCCGAAAGAAATGAATAAGAAATGCATTGGAAGCAACAGTAATACGTTGGGTGCTGTGTAAAAAGTTGGAGTTTCACAAAAGACTGCCAAAGGGGGAAAAAGGCAAAGAAACCGGGAAGGAGCACAATGGCTTCAATTTTAGACAAATCGGGTAGGCACAGCTGGTTACGAATGTCTCCACTCGTCAATCTCTAGAGATGCCTTTTTACATATATAGACCTTAATGTGGTATCTATATCGGAGTGGTGTATTCGTTCGGTTCTGACGAGAGTGAAGATTCCCCGCTTTAAAGCTATAGACCGATTACGATAGTGAAAGGCGGGCTCAGATAGGAAGTGGAGTTTGGACGGTTGAGACGGCGTGGCAGCAATTGATAAGTTCTATACAGATAGTGCGATAGAGTATGGATTCCTTCTGAATCTTCTGACTGGTAATATCCAAATATCCAGTGGTTTATCGAAATATATTCAGATGCCCAATCAACCTTGGAGGCACCCAAGTAACAATTATTCAGCAGTTGGGTGCCAAATTGTGTCCCACGTTTTGTTTCACAGATTTATATTTTAGTAGTTATTGAAATTGGTTTAAGAAATATTCCCATTGCTCTCGCATTAATAGAAATTAATATAGAAATTAATATACCATATACCCTTGGGCTTCGGGTCTAAAGGGTCGGGCTGCGGTTGCTGGGGCACCCCCGGTGGAGATTTGTGACCTGACCTAAGAACGAAGGAACTACATCATTTGTTCTTTAAACCCTGATCTTATTTCTAGAATCCCTAAAATCTCCCTTCAGACTGCAAGTATCCAGGTATCTTGAAGTACCGAGTCTTCAATTACACCCCTCGCGGCCGATGAAAGCTAATTTTACTCCTTCGAGTAGTTTGTTGACACCCGAGTCCAACCCCAGATAACGCCCCCAACGACGAAACGAAGCATGAGAATGAAAATAAACCATTAAAACTTCCAATTCAATCAATTCAATCAATTCAACCAAGACCTCGATCCAGCCCCTCAAACCAACCATTCCAACCCCGCCCCCAGACCCCGAGAATGCGGGCCTCCCGATGGATCTGGATTGCCGCCACATTCCTCACCTCAACCGTCCACTCAACAGAGACAGCACCCTTCACCGCAGCAGAAAAGGCCACAGCCAACAAACGAGCCTTTGAAGTCCTCCGCATCCTCAGACGAGACGACAACAATTGCCCGAGAGGCTTCAACCCCTGCACCGAACTGGGCAACGCCAACGCATGCTGTAAGCAGGGAACGAACTGCTCGCGCGATGGCGCCAACAACATCGCCTGCTGTGCGAGCGGCGCAAGCTGCACCGGCAGTCTAACAGACACGAAGACGACAGGCACAGGCACTGTGTTCATGTTCCCCAGCGGCGCAACCGCAACCACCACGGAGTTCGGGGCACCGTCTGTTACTGGGTCAACATTGGATGGCGCATACCCATTTGTCGTCGTTCCAACCACTTTCAAGAATGCCGAGACTTGCTCGTCTTACTACTCCGTGTGTCAGTCTGAGTACGCGCTGTGTACTGGCAATCTGATGGGCCGCTACGGCGTCACTATTGGCGCCGCCGGGGGAGGCAAGACAGTTCAGGCTGTCACGGCTGCATCGCAGGCGACTTCCATTTGCTCGAGCTTGAGTGTTGAGGCTTGTCATGGTATCAACCTGGCGTATTGTAGCGGCGTTGCGACACAGACTGGCAGTGCGGATGCGGATGGGAATGATGCCTCTCCTGCGCGGATGTCGAGTCTCCATGATCTGGTCTTCGGACTAGCAGTTGGAGTTGCGGGGATGTTTATATGATTTACGGTTTCGAAACGATATTTGGATGCGTTCTTTTTGTTTGTACATTCTTTTTTTTCCCTGTGATTTTATATCACCATGTGGAGCGGACAGAAACCCTTGGGATTTATGATACAATATCGAGTTTAGGTGATGGTTCGCTCGGTATATATGCTTTAAAAAGGCTAAATATTTGATCGAGATAGACCTGAGTTACCATCATCTGTCAAGGAGCTGTTTATATCCCCTTTCCATTTTGACCAGGTATTCCTAACGGGAAAGCTCCGAGGTTAAATTGGTATATTTATCCGCGTTATATATGTGCCAATTTTCACGTCTGTTCATTCTATTCTTTATTACCACTGAAAGAATAAGCTCTATAGTTCTTTCTTATAGTGATTCTATATCCCCTTGTTGCTCGGCATCTTCTCTCATACTACCATCGCCGCGTCAATCGATGTACATATGCATCCAATGTTTATATCTAGTCCGTATTTTTTCTACGTAAAACATCGTACTTTCCGGGTTCATTTCTTTGGGTGGAATGGTTTTTTCCCTGCCCGGATGTGAAACCCTAGGTGATTAGCCCGAAGGATGCGGCGATAATAACTATGTAGTTGTCTTAAACGGCTAATTAGCGACACTAGATGTCCTTACTTGGAATATGAACACTTATATATATACATCAAATGCCGTAGAGAAACGTCGTTTTCCTTCGTGCTCCATTGAATTGTTTTTGATTCATTGCTTTTGATTGAAAACATGTGAGGTACTTGTAAACCCGCTCCATGCTCAAGACACAGAAAAATTTATGATTCCATTGGGGAATCATATCTTAATCTAGCCTGGCTTGGTAGCTGCACTGAAGATTGATTAGATGAACCTTCTGCTAGTACCCGTGGATGTGGTCTGTGGGCTGTGGTTGATATCCGTGGATCCGCCATGGCGTTAACCTTGGAAAAAAAAAAAAAAAAAAAAGGATCGCCCCACTATTTATTTCGCCCAACACGGGATTCGTACACCCGTTGTGGAGATACAAAAGGCACGTGACTTTCCCAAAAGCGTAGGACCAATCATATCAGATCAAAATGATCCACATCTGTATAGCCTCAAATCGAGTCTAAAGAAAAAAAAATAGGTAGCTGCTCTTTGATTGAGACATGTCATCCTTAGTGCAGGGGCCATGCTAATTCTCTGTATATTTTCATTTGACCATATGCCCCGAAGGGCGACAGGACATCCTTAAAGTTCAATATAACCTCACTTTTAGGCAGAAAATGACCGCCTATTTCGAATGATAGAATCCGGAAGGAGCGTTGTTTGTCGTGCATACTACTTGCATACATGTATGTAGTTTGATCATATATTCCCCATATATAATGCTTTCCTTTCACGGTAAAGCCAATGTTTTGTACTATAGATGTAGCTTATTTATATTTAAGTCCAAGGATAAAGGGCAAAAGAAATTGTCTTAGCCCAATAGACGGTTGTTGTCCAAGGCTGCTAGACCACTGGGTTATATTGCAACACATAGTAAGTCGAGGGCTCCGAGGCCAATGGATGGTCGAGTATTCTCTCATATATTGGAAGGCCGCATCTGACCCTGCCACATTTAGTACTCGCATCCGGAAATGCTCCGCAACATTGGGTTCTGTTTGAATTTCTTTGTTGCACGGGGATCTCTTGCCTGGTATTGAGATTCTTGCTCTTCAGACTCTCAGAACATCGCGAGGTTTGCCCAGTTCATCGTATCGAGTACGCATGGCAGCTGGGTTATGTGGCCGGTTTCGGAATTCCATGCAACCCACGTACCAGCTAAGAATATCTCACGCAAGGCTTTGGCAGTACGCTCAGCACTAGCACCCATATGAACAACAAGTGGGTTTGTGGCATGCAGCACCATGAGCCGTTAGATGTATTTCCCTATAGCAAAAAAAGGAACGATATATATAACAAGTGAGTGGCATGACAGAGTGAAAATTTCTTATACGAGCATTAATATTGTAGGATCACCTAGATAGTGGTAATTCTCCATTAGACTCGGTTTGGGCAAACACCCTCCTTCATTTATGCCAATATATACGACCTTATCGCAACTATGGTTGGCTTAGTAGCGGAAGGGTTAACGCGCCGTACTACTAAGTTTGATTTGGCACAAAGAAAAAAAAAGACACACCTACTAACTTTCCACTAGTTAACTAGCCTGTCCGTTAGTTTTCCCGCCCTAACATCTATATTCAAAATAACTGCCTAGAAAAACAGGGGGACCTTACCTATATGTAGGTATTAAATATAACTAGTGGGATTAGCTTTAATACGAAGAGATAAGATTTTTTAGTGGTTTTCGATTTATTTCTATACTTACTACGTAGTCTTTTAATTAAGATCATATAGTCTAAAGCTGCTTGATGTTTTGGTCCCAGTCATCGTCAGATGTAGAGATACTTTAGGGGATGTCCCTTGGAGAGATGCGAACCCCTATAGACAGGATGTCCCTCCATAAGCTTTCCAGGAGTCTGGCTGCAGGTTCGATCGGATCTCCAGGGCATTCAAAGGATTGGACAATTCATCGTTGGGCTGCTACTGGTAGCACGGAATATCCCCATGACATCCACGACATCCACGGCATCCACGCTTTGCTACGATGTATCGGATGGCTGCCCAACATATACACAATCCAATTGTTGTTCCTCTTTTTGAGTAGACCTGAATTAGGGCAATCCTAAAATGGCGGTGTTGGACTTAAAGCTGATTGCTGCCATGCGGGGTGGAGAAACCTGCATTCGACCCGTTGATCGCTTCTGACAGGATGTAAGTAAGGGGACAACCCACGGCTTCCAAGGTTGTTATTCGAGGGGGAAAAAAGTATTGGACTAATCAGAATCAAGTAAAATAAATTTAATGTGAAACCCAGCCACCTTGAAATAAAAAGAAAGTCTTGGGTGGACTCGGGCGATTGGTAGGAAATGGGGTGGTTGGGTATACAGAGGGAGAGGCTGGGAGATGCTGTGTAGCTAAACAAACTGGAACAACCCTCCTCTCGACTTCTCTCATTCTTCTTTATTCTTGTCCACATTCCGATCTTGACGTCTCAAGAATTTGAGATCTTTGTTTAATTGTGGTCTCCCAAGATCTCTCGAGTATACGGGTGAGACAAGACTACCGAGAGACACTGTTCCAGTCCAAATCCCACGCTCTCCGACTCGTGTAATTTCACCACTGAATTTTTGGCAAGCGTTGCCTCGCCATTCCTTTGCGATGCGGTCTTTATCCGTCCTGCCGGTGCTCTCGACACTTACCCTACTTCTCAACTACTCGCTCCACACAGCCGCAACCCCGCTCGCATTGGAAGCAAACGTCCTCGAAGGAAACAAGCTTGAAAAGCGCTGTGCAAACCCCTGTGGCTACAACGACTGGCTTTGCTGTGAGACCGGTCAAACGTGCACTACCAACAGTGCTCAAGAGGCCGTCTGTGCAAATGGCGGTGGTAGTGGCAGCGGTGGAGACTATGAATATTACACGACCACCTACGTGCTCACCAATACCGACCTATCAACGGTTACCTCTGTGTGGAGCAGCCAGATTGCTGCATCCACAAGCACAGGAACGTGCAGAGTCGACCTTGGCGAGACAAAGTGTGGCTGGACTTGTTGCGAGGCTGCGCAAGAATGTTCGGAGGGCCAATGTGTCGCTGAGAGTTCTTCGATTGTTGTGACTGCTACAGGAACAGGAGGAGGATCAGAAGCTACGCCGGGCGTCCGAGGGACGACCAATGGGGCAACCACCGTAACAGCAACCTCGGCCCCCACCACCACGGAGGGATTCACAGCGCCAGTTGGAACAGACGGGGCAGATTTGATCGGGGCCCATGCCGAAAGCAGCGGCGGACTGAGTGGCGGTGCAATCGCAGGAATTGTCATCGGCAGTATCGTCGGTGCGTTCTTATTGTTACTCCTCTGCGCCTGCATCTGCTTTAAGGGCGTTTTGGAAGGCCTGCTTGCAGCACTCGGCATCGGCAAGAAGCGCCGCAGACAGGATACAAGCTATATAGAAGAGCGCCATTCTCACCATTCGCATGGTAGTCGGCCTCCTCCCCCTCCACCTGCCGGCCGACGGACATGGTTCGGAACTAGACCAGCCGCGGGAGGCAGTGAGGTTAGCGAAAAGAAAGACTCCAAATGGGGCTTGGGCACAATTGCCATCATTCTCGGTGCTCTTGCTCTGTGCTTGGGATTGAAGAGAAAGAGAGAGAGAGAGCACGATGACGGCAAGACCGAGTCCTCTTACCCAAGTTCATACTACTACTATTCCGACTATTACTCAGGAACAGGGAGTACGTCTACCCCCATTTATTCCCACAATCAAAAGATATTTACTGACCTTTTCTTCTTTCACAGGTAGCCAAAGTTCTGACAGACGAACTAGAGATACGCGACGGTCACGACGATCGCGCACTCGTTCTGCCCGTCCATGATAACGTCTGACATGATGGAACTTGTCTCTTATTTGCCTCGGTTTGATTATGCATTTATGGCGCCTGATTTATGATGTGACTAATGTACCACTACGACCTGCACGATGTTTTTTTTGTTTTTCTTTTTGATTTAGGATTGACGATTTTTTTTTCTTTTTTCAATGTCGATATGAAAAGATTTATGGCACACTATGATGTACATATGAAATTATGAGTACAAACTCGACATGATAATATGATTCTTGAACTTCCAAGGTTGTTTATTACTGTCTAATAAGCATTGAAATGATATAATGGTCCTCGGGCACCGGCATGAAATTGCAATGCGGAAAAGCAAACTGCTTGCAGCAAACAATGTGCTCTGTTTGGATGGCCTGTAGGTTTGACACAAAGTACGCCAATCCAATAGATCCGAGTCAAATGAGAAAGAAAGAATAGAAAAAGACTAGAAAAAGACAAGAAAGAAAAAAATAATAATAATTATAGAACATAGAATAATAGAATATAGAATAGTTATGCACTCCATACAGAGTCCTCTGTAGGTAAG